AAATTTATTTTTTGTAGAGATGGGGGTCTCACTTTGTTGCCCAGGTTGGTCTTGAACTCCTGAGCTCAGGCGATCCTCCTGCCTCAGCCTCCCAAAGTGCTGGGATTACAGGCATGAGTCAGCCACTAAGCCTGGCCCCAAAACCTACAGTGATCTTTACTGTGACTTGGTTTTTGAGATGCTAACTTCCAGCTCACATCTTAACACACCAGAGGGGTCTCTGGGAAGAAACAGCTGTCACCCTGTGGTCCCAGAAACATGGCTTTAAGATGGGTGGGAAGGTCTGATAAATCCTCAATCGAGTGAAGCCCAGGACTGGGTCTGTAAATCAGGCAAGGCCTGCCTAGAGGCATCTGCCCAGTTTCTGCTCTTCTCCAGCTAGGCTCCTTTAGGAAGGATCCATGTTTGAGATGTCTTTAAGAATCACATGCCACATTTCTGCTCCTAGTTCCTTACGAACAGCCTCAGGTAAACTCTCCAAGACAGAAATGTAGACGGCCTACACAGTAAAAGCCTGCTTGCTCAGAAGCATACCAGGCCAAAATGCACCAACAGGCAAACAGCTGAAAATGCTCTCCTGGATTTGGAACTCAAACCCACTGTCACTGGTCTGGGGCTGGCCAAAGGCAGGGGAAAGTCAGCTTGATGAGAAAGAACAGCAGGAAAATAAATGGAGGCCTCTATGGGGGAAGGATGCAAGTATCTGTTAACTGTTGAGTAATACTTCTTTACATGATCTCATTGGTTCTTTCCAACAATCCTGTGAATGAGAGACCATCATGACAACAGAACTGATGCGGAAATTCAAGTTTCTGAAACACCATTCCACTCTCTTTGGGTATCTCTGTACCTGAGACGTCCTGCAAAAAACCTTAATCCCACTTCATATTAAAGCCATGTTTCAGGAACCCCAAGGTGACAGCCCTTTCTCCCAAAGACCCCTCTGGTGTGATATCTGAGCCAGAATTTTGCATGCTTGCTTAGGAGGAGCGATACCAAGCTTTTTAATCATGTAGAAAAGCATACGACCGTCCTCGCCACTGTTCCACACTGTTGTCCATCTGATGACGCTAATATCTTATTTGGTCCTTTTTATCTGCTCCACCCACTTATATGCAGTGATTGAGAGTTTAATTATTGTCATAAAGCATTATGAGCAACAGATACTGAATAAATGTTCTGATGGCATCTGACAATGTGAAATTCACCACTCTTTCATGCTTCAATATGCCCCTCAATGTGCCTGCATAGGAATGAAAGGTACTCTTAGATGTAAAAGAGAATATGAATTATCTTGTGTTTAATTTTCATGGAATACTCCTTTTCCTTAAAATGGGGTGGGGTGGGGCAACAGAGAACAGTATTCCCCCAAAAGGTCCAATAGGCCCAAGCGACCCCTGCTTCCTAACACAGTTCTGTTAGGAGAGACATGGCCTGGAACACCGGTAAATAGAATAGAGATAAGAATATTCTGCATTCAACAGGACTTGCACGCAGTTTTTCTTTTTATCGCATTACAAAGTAGATACCACACCTACATCATTCGTTCAACTACTGCTTCTAATATGCAGCCACAATACTTGACCATGTCATCATTTCCGCGTCTGCTTTCCTTGACTAGCCCAGTCTCCTTGAGAGTGTCATAGTCATCTTCAGACACCTGGCATCTAGGAACCTCAAAAGTCTGCTACTGAGAGCCTAGCAGGGCCAGGTGGCAAGAACCCTTGGGGGTGTCACTCTTCTGACAGTAAGGAAACTATGAGTGAAGGGTCACAAAACTGGGAAACAGGAGACCCAGGTTCAAACCCAAGTCTCCTGATTTGAGATGTGGCACTTGCCCCAACACACCTGCAGTAACCTCCTGTGTTCAGTTGTTATTGTACCGCCCGATGACGCACCTGAGCCTTTACTTGTCTCAGTTGGACCTCTTTACCAATGGGCAAGGCCACACCTGTGGTTAGGCCTCTGGATCATCTAAAAGCCGTAACACTCTAAAAAGGGGGTTTCTTTTTTTTTTTTTTTTTTTTTTTTGAGACGGAGTCTCGCTCTGTCTCCCGGGCTGGAGTGCAGTGGCCGGATCTCAGTTCACTGCAAGCTCCGCCTCCTGGGTTTACGCCATTCTCCTGCCTCAGCCTCCCAAGTAGCTGGGACTATAGGCGCCCACCACCTCGCCCGGCTAGTTTTTTGTATTTTTTTTTAGTAGAGACGGAGTTTCACCGGGTTAGCCAGGATGGTCTCGATCTCCTGACTTCGTGATCCGCCCGTCTCGGCCTCCCAAAGCGCTGGGATTACAGGCTTGAGCCACCGCGCCCGGCCTAAAAAGGGGGTTTCTATGAAGATCAACTGTGAATTTATGGAAAATAAATTTGGAAAACACTATCAGATGTTATGCAAATGCAAGCTAGGCATGATAACAACTAGTTATGAATTTTTCTAGAAAAAAAAAATCAGGAAATAGCCCTGCCACATGAATACAAACTAATGGGAGATAAAATTGTTTCCTTTAAGCTTTTTTTTAATGTAGCAATTAAGTTCAAAATACCCTATACTTCAATTGCACATGAGTCAGGAAGGAAAGACTACTGGGGTGAGCCATGCTGGCAGGCCGTGATGTGCAGGTTTATTACAACTGGCTAAGAACGAAGGAAGCTCTGTGCTCCTGGAAGACAGATGTTTGTGAAGCCACCAGGGCTGTTGTGAGGTTTTTTGAGACTGGGTCTCACTCTGTCACCCAGGATGGAGTGCAGTTGTGCAATCACAACTCAGTGCAGCCTCGACCCCCTGGGCTCAGGTGATCCTCCCACATTAGCCTCCCAAGTAGCTGCTAGGACTATAGGTCCATGCCACCTGCATGGCTAATTTTTTATTTCTCATTTTTGTAAAGACAGGGTCTTGCTATGTTGCCCAGGCTGTTCTTAAACTTCTGGACTCAAGTGATCTTCCCACCTCCTTTCCCAAAGCACTGGGATGACAGGCATAAGCCAGCATGCCCAGCCTGAGTTCCTCTTGGGCAGATGTTCCTCCCAAATGGAAGGATCAGAATCACCTGGTAATTTTTTCTCCATGTTCCCTGATAGAGTCTGATATTCTTCAGAGGAGAGAAAAAGAAAAAAATGTTTATTCTGTGAAAAGCTCCCAGGGTGATTCTGGCCATGCCTCGCTCTCCTGGCTTAGCTGAGAACTACAGCTTCTAAGTTAAGTCGCTGTCCCCACGGAGTCAGGGCTTCTTTGTTCCACTTCTCCTTTGGTGCCTCAAATCAAATGATAACTTTTTATATTTTTTTGGAGACTGGCTCAATCTCCCCTGGGCTCAGGGGATCCTCCCACTTTGGCCTCCCAAGTAGCTAGGACTGCAGGTGCACACCACTACACTCAGCTAATTTAAAAAATTTTTTTTGTAGAGATGGGGTCTCCCCATGTTGCCCAGGCTGGTCTTGAACTCCTGGCCTCAAGTGATCTGCCTGTGTCAGCCTCCCAAAGTGCTGAAATTACAGGTGTGAGCCACTGCGCCTGGCTCCATAACTCCTTTATGTCTGTGGGTGGGAGTGAATGTTCTGTGATTACAAGCAAGGAGCTAAACTATCTGGCTTCTTTTGTAGAGTGTCATTCTGATAAATTGGAAATTCTAATTAATCCGATCCCACCCACCGGCTCTCTGGGCCTCATGAGGGACTGGGCGACCACGGACTCGCAAGCAGGAGTGGTCCTTACCTGTATAGACAACAACCAGGCAAATCAGAGCCAGAGCCACAGAACCAGGGAGGGTCAGAGCTAGGAGTTTTTAGATTACCTGACTAAGCCACCCTACCTTTTAACACATAAGAAAACAAAGGTCCAAATACATTAGAGTAGCATCCTTCAACCTCAGCTACATATCACACTTACCTATGACACTTTACAGATGCATGGGCCCAGACCCCACAGGAGGGTCCGATTCCACAGCCCTGTGTGGGGGACTCCGGGATACTATGTTAAAGGGATTTGCTAGGGTCACAGCCTGGCTTATACAGCCTTCTTTCACACCATACCACTGTGTCTTTCTAAAGAAAACGAGTTTAAAGCAAAACTGTCTCAATTACCCTGTAATATGTAAGGCATTCTGAGAAGTCCCCTAACTATAAATCCTTTCCTAATACATCGGCTGCTGCTGAAGATTAAGTCCAGGCCCCTTGTGATCTCCAGGCTTTCATGCCTGCACCGAGTCTGAGGGATCAGGTGCTGGTTAAGGAAGAGCCAGAGGGCTGAAGCACTCTCTCTCCACTAGTCTGAAAGATAGTTCTTCCACAAGGGTGACACTGCAGACTACTGTTCCAGTGATGAGGCTGGTGCGCCCACCCTGTTCCCCAGGGACTAAAGGGCAGGCAGGGTAAGGTCCTATAAAGACCAGGAATGAGCTGAGCTAGTTATTATATTCTAGGGCATCCAACCTCACTGAACAGATGACTATGCCTTCATCTAGTGAACGGTCCTATTAACATGCCAACTGGGGCAACTTCTACTATCACGTTAGAACCCCACGTTTCTTGAAGGCACAAACAAAACACTGGATGAGACTAAATCTCACCGCACTGAATCTGGATTCACATTGTGCTGCCGCATGATCAGTTTTATAATCATTCTTCCTTCCCGAGTCTTGCCCAAGCAAGTGGATCACAAATAAGCACACTGCGTTGTTAAAATTACATTACAACCTGCCACTTATTCTTGAATAATCTGGCAAATAGTATGCCTTAGTATCATGTGTGGGCTGTTACTCAGGGATCCCACATTTCTCCAAAGCCCTCTTGTCTATTCTTGAATCTCATCTGAACACGTGAGCCAAGCCGACCAGCATGAGTGTTCCCCACTGCTCACCTTCAGCTGGTGCCAAATGGCAACAGTCCTGGCCCTCAGGAATGACATGTGTGATGGGGAAGATTATTGGACTTGCAAATAAAAACCAAGTTCAGATCCCCAGGAACGGTAAAAACAAAATAAAACAAAACACACTAGACCTCATACATGTTCATATACATATTTATATATATTTCATGTACAAAGTTACATTCCGAACCCCAGGGATTCCATAATAGAAATAAATACTGAAATAACTACATTGCTAAATGAGCTTTTTGCTCATAGAAATGAAGCTCAGCCTCTAAGAGACAGCAAGTGGGACATTCTAGAACCCATTTTTCAGATTATAGAGGCAAGTAAAATTCTGATAGAATGTCTTGGACAAAAAATGAATTTGGAACATAAAATGGTTAAGATATATTCAAATATTGGGAAATGTATGACAAATTAATAAAACCTAATCTTTTAAGAGAAAAGACAGACATTTAGTGTTACAGAATAGCATAACCCTGTTAGAAAAGCATTTATGATTTCCACATTTAATTTTCTCTTCTACTCTTCCCATGTTACAAAGTGGGACCAAATGAGTCCCTTTCTGAACATGATCAATTAAGAAGAGCCCCAAATCTGGTTGAGTCCTTTGGTAACGGTCGTAATACTCACAAGGAAATAAATATTCAGTTCCATGGCATTTGCAAGACACATGTTCTTTAGGACAGTTAATCTTATGAGACATCTGTTTTATTTTGTTACTAAGGCAGCCTATGTTAAAGGGTCTAGTCTCAAATGTAGGAAGACCTTTACAATAAATGAACAATACAGTAACTGAAAGAATTGATTTTAGCCTTTTCTATGCAAACACAATCTGAAAAGTTATGTGCTGCATGTTATGCTCAAAATGTTTTACACTCTCCACAAGCTGCAATTAAGAGATTCATTCCTATTTTTAAAATTTAGATCCACATGAGTTAGAGAAAAATACTCTCAAAAGTGAGTTCCTAGAGAACATTATCCCTTTGCCTCACAGAGATTTTAACCCGCATTTAAGAGTAAGTATTAGGTTGAGGCATATGATATTGTCGCTTTTGCAGATCAGCAATGGTTGAACACTGGCAGTTTCATATGGTTCAACCTTGCACATGAACCAAGTGTAACAAAATGAGAAACCTTCAAGCATCCCTTATTTCTTCCAATAGGGGTACACTCTTTTTTTGTACGGTGAGACCAACCCAAAGTACGGAAGCCTCTTCTTTCCCTTGATGTGGTAGCTACAGGCAGTTAGTTACATTCCTTTGCTGCTTGTGAGAGCTTACATTTTGGCATTTTCTTCCAAAAGTTACCACGTTGACCAAAGTAAACATTACAAGAATATGAACTTGTTATTGGGGGAAAGGGGAAGTGAAGCAATCTGTAGAAAATATTTAACCAAAATTACAAACATAAGGACAAGCCTTTAAAGCAAATTATACAGGCATTATTGTCCTCTCTCTCTGGTCCCTGCAGTTAATTAACAGGGCCACAGATAATCTGACATCTTTAGATAAAATAACTACACAGCTATATTACTTAAGTTAAAGCCAGTAAGTTCAAAAAAAGCAATTACAACCATTTTACATGTTTGTATTTTTCATCTTTAACTCCTGATTTCCTAAATTACATTCAGTCATACAAACATGGCTGAACAACAGCAAATGGGATCTGACTCTGGGATGTTTACTTCTTGGGATTAAAATCCCCAAACACTTTGGTGTCTCTTTCTTGTGAATCTATACAACATTTCCAATAAATGTTTAATAATGATTTTTAAAAAGATATTGCCAAAAATGGCTCAGATTTAAGATGAAATAAAAACATAGCAAACAAGCTATGGAAAAGTAGCCTACGTTTTGGTGCCCTGAAAAAAAGTGACTAAGTAGCTCAAGCAAAAAATTATTCTTTTAATACAGCTTTTACCAAACAGTTTTAATACATGAGTGGCTACAATTTTATTGTATACACAATGTGCTTATAGTCACATGTGGCCCAATGGATCCAAATGCCTCCTCTGGCTCATGAAATCCCATATATTTCACCATCTAATCATGTATATGCATAAAAGCCACTGGTATATACTTTTTACAGACATCTTTGTATAATAGTTCAGGAAAAAAAAATCAGTGGTACTTAAGAATAATTAGACAATTTGAGATCTACGTTTGCTTTTTCTTTTCAGTAGTCCTTCTGATGATTAGGGGGCCTTTATCCCATAGGTTTATACTGTTAAAACAGTACATAAAATTACATTTAGCTTTGCTTCGGCTGGGCGTGGGGGCTCACACCTGTAATCCAAGCACTTTGGGAGGCCAAGGCGAGTGGATCATCTGAAGTCAGGAGTTTGAGACCAGCCTGGCCAATGTGGTGAAACTCTGTCTCTACTAAAAATACAAAAATTCGCTGGACATGGTGGCACACACCTGTAATCCCAGATACTTGGGAGACTGAGGCAGGAGAACTACTTGAACCTGGGAGGTGGAGGTTGCAGTGAGCTAAGATCACACCACTGCACTCCAGCCTGGGCAACAGAGCCAGACTCCGTCTCAAAAAAAAAAAAAAAAAATTATATTTAGCTTTGCTTAGAGTAATACATAAAAAAGGGTAAATCACACATTTTCAAGAAGCTTGAGAGAGAAAAAATTGCAGCATTGTGGTTTTAAAAAACTTAAGCAAGAAAATCAGTGAAATCCAGACTTTAATCTATTTTTTGCTTGTTTGTCTGTTTTGAGACAGGGTCTTGCTCCATCACCCAGGCTGGAGTGCAGTGGTGCTATCAAGGCTCATTGCAACCTCCACCTCCTGGACCCAGGTGATCCTCCCACCTTAGCCTCCCAAGTAGCTGGGACTACAGGCATGTACCACTACACCCAGCTAATTTATTTTGTTTTGTTTTGTTTTGTTTTTTTGGTAGAGACAGGGTTTTGCCATGTTGCCCAGGCTGGTCTTGAACTCCTGGGCTCAAGCAATCCACTCGCCTCAGCCTCCTAAAGTGTTGGGATTACAGGCGTGAGCCACCATGCCCAACCTATTTTTTTAAATGGGCATTGTGAATGAAAATAAGTAATGTCAACTTTTACTTTATGTGGTATCTTAGCTTTGTCTTCTTCCCCTTAATAGTTTTGAAGATAACCCTTTAAGCTCAAAAGGGCACAAAAGCTAAAATGTTATTCATGTACAAAATACCAAGTATATAGCTGTTCTGCAGTTTGATACAGAACAAAAGAAAATAACTTTTCTAATTAAGTCTCTCATTCTGTACTTAGGCCAGACTCCATCCCACTCAAGTTTTCCTTGTATTAACAGGCTAAGAGCAGTCTAGGAACATTTGGCAAACAGGTACATTTTTCACATGGAAAAACTCAATCAACATCACCATTCTCTGGTACAAGAAATACAAAACACATTTCCTTTAAAAAATCCTCCCACGATGAAGTATCTTCTAAGCTTCCCAGAGTATGTTTTAAGCTTTATAAATAATACACCTTTCAGACATGTCAGTATGAAAATGAGACTGGTCTCAAAAAAAACCCATCAGAATATTCAGAGAAGTAGGCCTCATAAACTTTAGAGCTCTAATAAGTCAGAAACAGGAAACGTTTATTTAAATAGTGTAGTCTTAATTTCTTTAATATAAAACCCCCCCAAATCTGATGAAAACAAAGTTTTATATACCATATAAACAAGATTTGTCAGATTTGAAAGTGAAAGTTAAAGTAATTTACAGTTAGTTTTTAACCCTCTCGGAACATTTAGATAAATCCTGATAATCCATCTTCTATTAGTGTGTGTCAATTTTACAATATACTGGGGAAAACTCGGCTATTGTATTTAATGGCACAGTTTCATTTATCAAGTGTTTCCCATTAATTCCATTATTAGTGACAGCTAACAAGTGACCCTACCAAATGAAGTGAATGATATTAGACTGTGGCAGAGTAAACCACATCTAGATTGCTTTCTATAACTCACCAGTTTGCAGGAAGTAAACATTCTTTGATTTGTTCATAATACACTGAAGTTCCCTATAACACTGGTGCAGTAAACAGCTGGCTCCTCTGTATTGTTATGGTAGAACGGATTTTGTAATATAAAGTTAACAGGAGAAAATGCTCACACATTATGTGGTGAAACTTATCTCACAAAAGAGCATTAAAGAAAAAGATAGAGGGAAAATAAACCATGCAGAAGAGACGGCTTCCCCATCTCCACCTGTTTCCTGTGGGCTCACTCACTGCCATACATCACTTGCCACACTATCAAGTGACTCCTTTCTGCTTTGGTGACAGAAGGTTCAAGTGGAAGATCCTCTCCAAGAAGTTCTGATTCTCCACCTTCATCACCTGGTGAATGATAAGAAGACTCAAGTTAGGCTGAGCACAGAAAATACAGAACGATGTGAGTCAGATGTAATGCTCGTGGTTAGTCCATGAATAAGATGCCCAAAACTTGTCTGGCTTTCACGGGAGAGTGAACAGTAAAAGAAATACTATGAGTCAGAATCCTCACCCATATTCACCCAAGCCACTACTTGACTTCAGAAAAGGTTAATTCATTTTTCAGACTGTATTTATAAAATCGAGTTCACTATACTATGTTGAAAAGCCATCCCAATATGTCTGCATACTGATGGTACCAGATATGGGAAGCTAAGAAGGCAATTCTGTGTTCGTCCAAAATGAAGAGTCTACTCTCATTTATTTCAAACTAAGAACTGAGAATAGTGTTATAAAATGCGTGAGCACAGATACAGAGCAAACTAAACCCAAATAACTCACACTTATTATCAATGACAGGTGTAACATTCTCCAATTGAAGATAATTGATACAAGCATATGGAAATTAAAATAATCAGCCTGCAGCACTGCAGATGGCAGATTCATCAGCTACTGGGCTTTTCTTCCAATGATTTTCAAGTTTAGGATAGGTTATGAATTAACAGTGCATAATGGAAAAGAAGAAACAGAGGTTGGAGTAGCAGCCAAGATATGGGTTCTTTCGCATGGCAGTTGAGTGAATGTGATCCACGGTGTCCTGATCAGACACTGGCTTCCAAGGCCCAGTGTGGGGTACACCATACTCCTCTCCCCAAGACCCAGTGCAGGGCATTACGATACTTCTCGATACAAGCTTGCATCAACTGTATCTGTTGTCACAGAGCAGGGTTATTTTGGCACAACCCAGTGAAAAGTTGTCTAGTGGAATGGATTCTTCATCAGAATCCTAAAAACATGTACACCACACGATCTAAAGATATATTCCACTGATCTAACAGAATTTTGTAATGTGCCCCATGTGAATTTCAGCTGGATAAAAGAAAATATTGATACCGTTGACTAGAAACAGCAGAAGAGAAAAAACACTAAATATCTGCATTTTTCTCTGCGGGCCAAACTTTCCCTTACCCAGTTCTGTAATGGCCTTTTCACAGCAATATCAAACTAGAGAGAGGAGAACACTCAGGACAAAATCTCATCTCTGAATTGAAACATAACCAGGTGGTTAGAAGGTAAAAAAATTAAGTTTGGCTCTTAAATTTTAAAAAATTTCAATGATAACAAATTAACTGGCTGAGACAAAAGGCTGTTGGCATTTCTTTTCTGAGTTGTTTTGAAGATTTTACTTGTAAGAAAATTATCCTGTCTGCTAGGGTCTCTACAGCTTAAGTTTTAAATTTAAATCATTAAAAATATGGGACTGTTAGAATCAATTTCTCACTGTTAAAATATTACAGGAAATGGAAAAGGAAATGGACCCCCAAAAAAGATCAAATTCAATTTTTTTAAAACAATATATTCACTATTAAAATTAGCCTATGCTAAAGACAAGTTCTGTTTTTCAGGCTGGAAATAACTAGAGATATTGCCAAACCTGGTTAAGCAATTTTTGTTCTATTTTCAGGATCCACAAATGGAAGGAATTTTTAGTGGAAATGGAAAAACCACATAGAGGTTTTATTAACAAACTCCTCAGTATGGTTCCAACTGCCATACTGCACTCCAAGACAAAGTTACAAAAATCACCCCAGCCAAGTGGAGTCCCTAACAATTCCTCTCATAAAAGGGAATTCAACAATAGTCAATTACTCAAAACACTTTGAAAAGACTCCATTCTTGATGACATCCCTGGAATCAATTTTTAAAGTTAACACTAACAGACTTCCCCCCTTAAAAGCGTCAACAAACTTTTTGCATCAGATATTAGTGACACTAATCACATTTGTCACACTGTCATTTAAATGACCCTAATTTTTTGTATTCCTTTACAGAATTCATATCTAAAGTATTTGTTACTGATCTACAACATTATTATATTCTCTCAAACCACCTAGTGCCTTATGTCTGGGAACTTTCTGAAGCACTGAGATTCTAGGTGAGTCCAAGGGATTAGTTTATGTATAGCAAATAAGCCGGGTGTGGTGGCACACACATGTAATCCCAGCACTTTGGGAGGCTGAGGCAGGTGGACTGTTTGAGGCCAGGAGTTTGAGACCAGCTTGGCCAACATGGTGAAACCCTATCTCTACTAAAAATACAAAAATTAACCAGGCGTGGTGGCACATGCCTGAAATCCCAGCTACTTGGGAGGCTGAGGTACGAGAATTGCTTGAACCCGGAAGGTGGAGGTTGCAGCGAGCCAAGATCTTGCCACTGCACTCCAGCCTGGGTGACAGAGTGTGAGACTCTGTCTCAAAAAAGAAAAATTATAGCAAATAAATAAACAAACATATTGGTACAGTGTCTTACAATTTACAAAGCACTACTCTTTTATGAGCATCAATTCTCCATGTTTTCTTTGTGTATCTCTGGCCATTCCTTCTCAGATCCCTCCATAAGCTCTAATAATCTTTAAATGGAGTATGAATTCAGGGTTCTATCCTGGAACCTTTCCTTTTTCTTTCTTATCTTTTTTTGAGATGGAGTCTCACTCTGTCACCCAGGCTGGAGTGCAGTGACACCACATCTTGGCTTACTGCAACCTTCACCTCCCAGGTTCAAGCGATTCTCCTGTCTTAGCCTCCTGAATAGCTGGGATTACAGGTACACGGCATCATGCTCGGCTAATTTTTGTATTTTTATTAGAGACTGGGTTTCGCCACTGGAAACTTTTCTTTTAACTCCCTGGGTGAACTCACCAACCCTCATGGCTTTTAGTACCACTCCACATGGACAGCTCCCAAATCCCTCCCTCCTAAGATAGAGGACCTGTATATTCAGAAGCCCAGTGGAAATTTCCCACCTAAATCACCACTACGCTCTTCAAGATCAACATGACTAGCACTGGACTCCTCTTTCCATCCCTCCAGACCTGCTTCTTCTGTTGACAGTCCTGAGCTCTATGGCCCATTCCTTGTTTCCCCACATCATGGGGAAACATCATGCTTCTTATCGGTTCCCACTGTTACTACCTTTCTTGGATATTCACTTGTTCCCAACTCATTTCCCTACGTCTAGTCTTGAACCTCCTTCACACAACTCTAATCACATTGCTCCTATAGTTCTCTTTTGCTTGAAAGATAAAGTACAATCTTCTTAATCTGGTATGTAAAGGCCTCCCATACTCCGGTCCCTCCCTCCCTTTTGACAAGATATTCATACTTTCTTCTACTCCACGCTCTTGTCATTTTAAAATAGTTTTTCTTGGCCGGGCGCGGTGGCTCAAGCCTGTAATCCCAGCACTTTGGGAGGCCGAGACGGGCGGATCACGAGGTCAGGAGATCGAGACCATCCTGGCTAACACGGTGAAACCCCGTCTCTACTAAAAAATACAAAAAACTAGCCGGGCGAGGTGGCGGGCGCCTGTCGTCCCAGCTACTTGGGAGGCTGAGGCAGGAGAATGGCGTGAACCCGGGAGGCGGAGCTTGCAGTGAGCTGAGATCCGGCCACCGCACTCCAGCCTGGGTGACAGAGCAAGACTCCGTCTCAAAAAAAAAAAAAAAAAAAAAAAAAGTTTTTCTTCCATTAAGATGGTTTCATATCTCTAAACCTTTGGCCAAGCTACTCTCCTACCTCGGAGTGCCAATCCCTGGTCCTCCCCACCCCATTCCCCAATCTGACCCTCTGGGCTAAGACTGTGCAGCGCTGAGTCACTTCAAGCATCATTTCTTGACTTCCTTCTCTCCCTCCCCTTGGAAAGAACTGACTACTCACCACCAGAGCATCAGCAACATTTTCATTTATTAACATGTCTCTATCTCTGCACTGTTCTATGATCTACTAGATGAAGGCTTTGTCTGATTTGTTTCTGCATCTCCAGTTTAAGACTGACAGGTACACAGTAGGTGCTCAATTGAGCACTATATGTTTAATATAATATATAATAATATAATAACATATTTGTTAAGAAAATGAACAAATGAAGTTGTTTTGACACAAACAACACTTTAAGAAATATTTTTATTTCTCCATTTTGCCAGTTAGAAAACCGAGGCTCTAGGAGGTTGAATGACTTGTCCAAGGCCTTCTGACCCTAAATCTTATGCTTTTCACATAAAACTTAACATTGACCACATCCTGCTATTTCTAATGCTTTCAAACAATACATTTTGGTATGAAAAGAAATACCAAGGGCTGGGTGCGGTGGCTCAGGCTTGTAATCCCAGCTGGGAGGCCAAGGAGGGTGGATTACTTGAGGTCAGGAGTTTGAGACTAGCCTGGCCAACATGGTGAAACCTCATCTCTACTAAAAATACAAAAACTATCCGGGTGTGGTGGTGCATGTCTGTAATTCCGGCTACCTGGGAAGCTGAGGCAGGAGAATCACTTGAACCTCGAGGCAGAGATTGCAGTGAGCTGAGATCACGCCACTGCACTCCAGCCTGGGTGAAAGCGTGAGACTTCATCTCCAAAAAAAAAAAAAAAAAAAAAAAAAAGAAGAAACACCAAAAAGAAAAAAACAAAAAACACGAAATTCTTTCCTATGTAAAGAGCTAGAAGAGAACCTTTTATGAATTATTATCAGAGTGGTTTCTTATTTACTTTGGGAGTAAACCCAAGTCATAGCACACAGCGCACACTGAGCTCCCAGAACCAATGACGTACCCATTCGGAAGTCGATGTAGCCCTCTCCTCCACTGATGACAAGCATAGACTTCAAAGGCGTCTGACTACCAGGCTCCTGTGCAGATGGCCCTGCTTTGTCACCTGTCAGATCCGTGCCACTACTGCTACTTTGTGGGCTGATGACTTGACCTGTTTTATACAGAAACAAAAGTGAATATTACTTATCACAGAAGGGAGGCTGTTTTTTTTTTCTTTTTAATATTTGTAGAGTTAAACAAAAAGGTAAATATATTCTAATAACCAAATACTGGGGAAGCTAGAAAGCTATCCATGATTAGAAAACATTTATATGAAGATTTTAAGAACCCAATTTGAGGCTGGGCATGGTGGCTCATGCCTTTGAGAGGCCAAAGTGGGAGAATCACTTCAGGCCAGGAGATTGGGACCAGCCTGGCAAATACAGTAAGGCCTCATCTCTACAAAAAGAGTTAGCTGGGTATGGTGGTGTGCGCCTGTAGTCCTGGCTTCTTGGGAGGTTAAGGCAGAAAGATCACTTGAGCCCAGGAGTTCAATGTTGCAGTGAGCTGTGATGCGCCACTGTACTCCAGCCTGGGCGACAGAGCAAGACTTTGTCTCTAAAAAAATAAACAAACAAACAAAAAACCAATTTGAAAATCTAAGTAAAGCAATTTTGTAACAAAGCAGGAATAGGCCCCAAAACCAGTATGAGATATATGCATGGCAAGGTGGGTCTTAGCTGCCTGCCTCAAACTACTTTTTTTTTTTTTTTTTTTTTGGAGACGGAGTCTCGCTTTGTTGCTCAGGCTGGAGTGCAGTGGCATGATCTTGGCTCACTGCAACCTCTGCCTCCCGGGTTCAAGTGATTCTCCTGCCTCAAATCCTGAGTGGCTGAGACTACAAGCGCGTGCCACCACGCCCGGCTAATTTTTTGTATTTTCAGTAAAGACAGAGTTTCACTGTGTTAGCCAGGATGGTCTAGATCTCCTGACCTCATGATCTGCCTGCCTCGGCCTCCCAAAGTGCTGGAATTACAGACGTGAGCCACCGCACTGGCCCAAACTATTTTATTATTATTATTTTTTTGAGACAGAGTTTTGCTCTTGTTGCCCAGGTTGGAGTGCAACGGCGCGATCTCGCCTCACTGCAACCTGTGCCTCTGGGGTTCAAGCGATTCTCTTGCCTCAGCCTCCCGAGTAGTTGTGATTACAGGTGCCTGCCACGCCTGGTTAATTTTTGTATTTTAGTAGAGATGGGGTTTCACCATGTTGGTCAGGCTGGTCTCAAAATCGTGACCTCAAGTGATCCACCCACCTAGGCCTCCCAAAGTACTGGGATTACAGGCATGAGTCACCATGCCTGGTCTCTTAAAAATTTTTAATGAAGTCTTGCTATGTTTGCCCAGGCTGGTCTCAAACTCCTGGGCTCAAGTGATCCTCTTGCCTTGACTTCCAAGTTGTGGAATTACAGGTGTGAGCCACCACACGCAGCCTACCTGCTGCAAACAAACTATTATAGTCTATATCTTTTGATCTGAAAGACAGTGGAAAAAGTCTCTCCCTTGAAAAGGAATGTGCTTATTTGTGTAAGAGACTGAGAAAAGTCTTCAACTTAAGCCCTGTGAGTTTGCATTGTCATCATTAACATTTAAACTTATTTCAAATCTATGGCTTTCCTCTCATATTTAAGGAAAGTACAGGTTATTTTTAATTTAGATTATGCAAACACAATTACTAGTAAATGTGCTGTTTGTTTTAAAGTTTAAGTTCTAAGGTAGAATCCTTGAGTGTGAAATAGTAGAAAGAGAGAAACCTTTACTATTCACTCTATGAACAAATGAGCAATCTCTAAGCCATTCCTCTTAGCAAGATTTAATTGTGGGATTTTTTTCCTTGTCAGAATCTGCTGTCCTTTGGTCAAACTACACAGACAGTGCCTCCAGGAGCTAGGTGGACAGTCATTAATGCGACACACTGTAACAAAATTAATGTATGTTGAAAGTGGATAGGATAGTCTGACGTATCCCCACAGGGATTCATTCATGCATTACTCAATTATACTTTGGAAGAAATCAAGCACTGCAGAAATGACTTCTGTTGGTAGACGAGTTAGCTCTGCCACAGCAGCAAGAGCACAGTGGTATTACTGATAAGGCCAACCAGAATGGTTTAATTTTTAGGGCCAACTGGCCCCACAACAACCATGTTGCTAATTCCACTTCTGGATTTATATCCAACAGAAAATTCTTGCACATGCACACAAGAAGGTCCGCTTCAGTACTGTTTTTAATAGTGAAAAAAGAAAGGGAAGAAGCCTAGAGGTCCATCAACAGAAGAATAAATAAAATGTAGCACTTTTATGCAGATATAAGAATATCAGTTAAATGAATAAACTAGACTTTTATGTATGAACATTGATAAATCTCAAAAAATGAGAAGTTGTAGAAGCATACATATGGAGCACAACATTTAACATGTAAAGTCCAAAACCACAAAACAATCATACTTTGTTTACAAATACATTCAAACATAATAAAAATACAAAAACATGGGCAAGAGGATATGCATCAACTTCAAGATAGTGGTTACCAATGGAGAGGAAAAGGAGAGGAGAATGGGATTAGAGAGGGATACAAAGGAGATTTAAAGGGGACTCTGTGATATTTCATTTTTTTTTTTTTTTTTTTTTTTAAGCAAGAGAAACACTGTTACCAGCAATCCCATTTCTAGGAAGCAAATGACTACACAAATATATAAAATGTACAAATGAGGTTTCAGAAAGCTCATTATCACTGTTAAGAATAACTGAATAATTGCTTAGGGTAGCCCTTGCCCCATGTACATATAATCATTTACTCTTTGGAAGACCCTTGGGAAAATAAGTATGATGAGTAATTTGACTTGTTAGCTCAGTACCCAGATATTTGGTCAAACACCAGTCTAGATATCATTGTGAGTCTTTTTTAGATGTGATTAACATTTAAAACAATAGACTTTGAGTAAAGCTGATTATGCACCACAGTTTGGGTGGGCCTCATCTAACCAGCTGAAAGCCTTAGGAGAAAAAGACTGAGGAATCCCAAGGAAAGAGAAATGTTGTCTCCAGACTGCTTTCAGATTTGGACTGCAATATCCACTCTTCCCAGGGTCTCTAGCCTGCCAGTCTGCCCTGCAGATTTCAGACCTGCGAGTCCCTACAATTGTGTGACCCAGTTTCTTAGGATGTCTCTCTCCTCACACGCACATACGCACGCATCCTACTGGTTCTGTTTCTCTGGAGAACCCTGACTAATACACTAAGACACTGCTATTTCTACATCACACAGTTAGTTGGTGGGGCAAAATCAGATTTGAACTTTGCCTAGCTCCTAAACTTGCCTCTTATGGGAAAAAAAAAAAGAATTCAAAACATGGGTCCTGCTTAGAGATGGTCAGTAACATCACTTTAGTATTGTCAATGGATAATTTTTCATTTTTCACTGGACATCATCACCACCACCTTTTGTCTGGGTGGTGCTTTGTAGCTCCCAGTAGCATTTTCATTAATTTTCGTAACAAATGAAGTAGGCAGAGCAGATATTAATCACATCCACCTAGGAGTGAGGAAATTAGTCTCTGAGGTTAAGTGACTTGCTCGAGGTTAGTGGCAGAGACACAAGGCCCAGACCCCCAGGCCTCCTAGTCCACTGCTTTTTACTGTTAAGCTGCTAAAGGTACCAGAGTGCATTGTCTCTTCCTCCATGCAGCCTTGATGATAGAAGCTTCTTTCTAGTAATCTCTCTTATTAGGTCAAGACCATTTTTGGCAATCCACGATGATAAAATAATACTACTGCTTTTCAAAAGTAAGCAAGTCTCCTAAAGAAAAATCAACAAATTTGTCTTTGGGGGTGGGAGAGATATTTCAGAATAACTTCATTCAAGTATCCCTATACCACCTTACTCACACCTCCATTGCAGAACTTCCTTCGTATATATTGAAATTACCTGCAATTCGAGTACTTAGCCTTAGACTATTAGGTAGTGGAACCAAGAGATGACAGAAGAGAGACAATTACATGGAACATCTCAACAGAATAATCTAACATACCTGGGACTGCCACAAAGAATTTCACAGCATCCCGGTGCCCATGGAAGCAAAGCTGAGCATGTGCCATTGAACAATAGGGTATAAATGTCCCTGGAGTCACTTTATCACTGTTTTCATCACCATATACGCGGATTACACTTCCAGGACGATTTCCCGGTACACCTGAGGTTTTATTTGCTGCAACAGAAAAACCAAATACCAAATATTTTCCCCTAGAAAATAGTAATGGATGTAAGAGGTTACTGGTTAATCCTTATGATATTATCTAAAAGCTACAGCCAGTTGAGATAAAACAAGGATGGCAATGCCAATTCAAGACAAAGCTGGGAGAAAAAGAGATACAGCATGCTAGTTATTTTTAAGTACCTCAGTAAATGGAGTAGGGGATTTTGCCAGTCTAGCAATAAGTAAGCTTATTTTTTAAACACATCTATTCATTTAAAAGGTAATTTTAGTTAAAAACAAGAAAACAAATTTGAATCTTAGTTGTTTGTTTTGTTTTTAATGCCCATGTTAGAAAACTAAACATTATAAAGTAAATGGGTATATTTTCAAATAAAGTCTTTCTTTATAGTTTATCTTCGGATTTTTCTCCCTCGCAGTAAGAATATTTCCCTTGAGGGGGGTGGTAAAAAGCTGTGCTTACAAGAATCCAGCCACTACAATGAGCAGCTTTTATTGATAGCAGACTGATGGTGTGCTGCGTTACTGTAAAAGACCAGACTCACAAAACATCCCCATTCCATGGGCGAGTAAGTAAATGAAAGAAATATGATCGGTAACAAGAGTAAACGATGTAAATTAATGACAGCTTTAAGAGATGTTTCATGTTTATACTGGAAGGAAAACAAAGTCTGAAAGAAAGTTCAGCTGCAACAAAAGATGATAAATAGACTAAGCTGCTGAGCAGTTTGGTGGCCATGTAAACAAACATTAAAAAAAAAAAAAAAAAAGACACCTGCTGCAATGCAGTGACTGCAAGTGGATGACATTTAGGAACATTCAAGAGGGTATTCTAGAGGAGTGGTAACAGCCTTACAGTGGCTATTAGAAGCCAGGAAGAAGAGCTTGGTTCAGGATCTGCACTTACCCCTCAGCCCCAGTAAACGTCCCTGGTGGAGGATTACAGCTAAAGTGAGAAAGGAGGAAAGGGGACATGGAGAGGTGCATGACAGGGAGGAGAGAATTACTGTGAGCCACCACTCTCAGCGTCTTCTATCTGGCAAAACTGGCACTCAAAGCCTCTAATGAAAATAACAAGATCCCACTTGGCATAATACCAAGTAATACATAAAGTTCTTCCCAAGCCTTCTATAGAATCTCTGCTCAAAAAGGAAAATCTGATTTATGGTAGTTTTTTTTTTTTTTTTTTTTTTTTTTAAATAATAAAGCAACTTTAGTGAATCTAAATCAAAACACTAAGAACTCAATGTGCAGCATTTCCTAAATGCTAAAATTCCTCCTTTATTTCTCTCTCTCTCTCTGTGTTTTTAAAAAGAAATCCTGTTCCAGTAACTATGCTAAAATGAAACTCTTACAAAGAACTGAAATGAACTCTAGGGGATCCTGGAATCTCTTAGGATATAAGGAGAGGTCTAAATATGATTTATAAGTAACTGCAGAAAAGACAGCTGAGATTGAAACCTTGGGTTCTTTTAAAGACTTCTGAAATACCTTCTAGTCTTTCTCCCTCCTCTGGCCTGAAAAAAGGGTGACTCTGAAGTGTATATTTATTAATGTATTTTATAGACTTACAGTATTTGCTTTTAAACCATTCCCTGCCATGAATTTTGCAACACAAAAACATTTACTTAATGGATGATTAATGTAATGGAACATTGTATGAGAAACACACAAGGTATATTTTACTCATAAAAACAATAAATCACATTCTTTTAAAATAGAAGATAGATGGAAAGGCTTGCTGAACTCCTGAGAAACTTCTTCCACAACTTTTTTTAAACTTCAAATAAGACAAATGGAATATACTAAACTACCTGCTAAGGAGATATGAAAAACTAGAACGGATGCTAGGCAGTATTTTTGGACAATGGTATAATAAGGCTTAAGAGAAACGGACTTTAACTTCTATTTCAAAGATGAGATAGGACCATGATTCCTGAACTGTGAAAACGTTTTCACAAGGAAAAACCTTTAATTATGACTACTAGTCTTGATACATGAAAACTTATTTTCCTAGAATTTATAAGTTTCATTGAGTGAAGTAACAATAGCTAGATCTTTGCCATCACTGATTTTCTGAGCTAACACAGATTTGAATTCCAGACATAACTATTTCCTATAATTCTCCTATTTGACCCATGGCAGTTATCTAAAAATATACTTACTTTCTGTCAATGGGATGGAGATAATGACACCATTTCCTGTCCCCACCCACAAACGATTACAAGACACCATAAGAGCTGTGATTCTCACAAAAGAGAAGCCCAGTTTTCCAGTACCTGTAAAGAAAGGAGAGAACACTTTATTGAGAAACTAAAGCAGACAGCGTGTTACATTCCAAGTTCCTTAGAAGTAGCAGGATTACAAAAAAAAAAAAAAAAAAAAAAAAAAGGAAGTAGTAGTAGCAGGATGACACAACACAGAGGAAATGTGACTAGAGTAAGATGGATGTTTCCTGAAGGCTCGTATCAAAGTAAGCTCTTATTGGGGTTTATTGTCTGACAATTCAGGGTTAATGGAAAAAGAAAAGCGTAAAAGTGGGTAATGTAACATTATTAGTTAGGAGAAAAGTACATAGGAAATAGGGTACATCAGGAACTGTGACACAGGATTTCCTCAGGGAACTGTAAAAGCAAACCGACACATAGAACAAAAAACCCCAACAGAAAACAGTGAAACTGGCAGGGCATGGTGGCTCACGTCTGTAAATCCTAGCATTTCAGAGGTCAAGGTGGGATGACTGCTTGATCCCAGGAGTTTGAAACCAACCTGAGCAACATACTGAGACCTAATCTCTACAAAAAGTACAAAAATTAGCCAGGCATGGTGGCACATGCCTGTAGTCTCAGCTATGTGGGAGGCTGAGGTGGGAGGGTCACTGAAGTCCAGGCATTTGAGGCTCTGTGAACTGTGATCCCACCGCTGCACTCCAGCCTGTGCAACAGAGCAAGACTTTGTCTCTAAAAACAAACAAACCCAGAGAAATCAAGGGTCCTTTGATCTTATAAGCTGAAAAAGTTCTGATTTCCCTTAAGTTTATTTGCATAGATAAAAATATTTGTAAACAAAATCTACATTTTTCCCCCTCATTTGTATATTTAGGCTCTAAAGCAGTTAAAAAATTTTAAGTATTATACACAAATAATTTAGGGAGAACAAATGCATTTTTGTATTTCAAGTTAATTTTTACAGCTGATCTTATGATCTTATTTTCAGTGACTTAAAAGGTAAATTTATTGAACAGGTAATACATTTAAGAAAGACAACATTAGCACTCATAAGTTCTACTTACAAGAACTGAGCGCATGATCGTTGAACTACAGAGTTAGAAGGAGGCTTAATTACCATTCAGCCTAACCTAGGAACGTTTAACCTCCAGTCAAAGTATGTCCCTGAAATTAGCTGGTGTTTGCATATGTGTATACATTTTAGGGAGAAGGCACATAGCTAGAAATAAGGTTTCTGAGGGCAGTAACTAATGGTTGAAAACCACTGGTCCAGTTCAATCATTTTTCATGAAAGGAATCCTTTATGACATTCCTAATAATCATTATAGCACTGGGTCCGGTGCTCAAGATAGAGCAGGGAACAAGACAATGATGGCCCCTGATCTTCATGGGGCTTAGGGTCTGTAGGGGAGAGATTATAAACAAGAATCACATAACACAGGTGCAATCACAATAATGACAAGCCCATGAAGACAAAGTATGACAGGATCTAAATGAAGGTCTTTCCTGAATATGACAGGTAGGCTATGACCTGAAAGCTAAGCAAGTAAAAAGGGACCAAGAAGAACTTCCCAGGTAGATGATACAGCAGCATATGTGAGGACCCTGAAATGGGAAGGAGCTTGTTGAGCTGTGGTTCGGTGTGAGCAAGGAGAGTGTTTGAGAACATGTAAGGTCTCCTGGTCGTGTCACTTCATCTCAAGGCAACAGTGGAGGTGTGTCAAGGTAATATCTGCACCTTGGTTACTAGGCAGAGAACAGACTGGAGTGGCAACAGGGAGCCCAGTTAGGAGGCTGGGGGTAAAAGGATAGTGGTAGAGACAAAGAAGTAACCGATCTAATACAGTTTTAGAGGCAGACTTGAGAGTTCCCAGTGACAGATTAGATGTGGGAAATAAGAGAGGAGGAGTCCAAAATGATCCCAACTTTCCGTCAAGAACAATAAGCGGCCAGGTGCACTGGCTCATGCCTGTAACGCCAGCACTTTGGGAGGCTGAGGTGGGCCAATCACTTGAGCCCTGGAGTTTAAGGCCAGCCTGGGCAACATAGTGAAACCCCATTTCTACAGGAAAAAAAAAAAAAAAAGTAGCCTGGCATGATGGTGCAGGCCTGTCCAGCTACTGGGGAGGCTGAGGTGGGAGATCACTTGAGCCCAGGAAGCCAAGGCTGCAGCCAGCCGTGATGGTGCCACTGCACTCCAGACTAGGCGACAGAGTGAGATCCCGTCTTGAAAAAAAGAAAAGAAAAAAACAAAAAACAGAAAACAAAAAAACGAGGCAGACTGAAACATCTGTCTGATACTTTCAGTGATAAAAGTTCACTATTCCTGAGGTAACTTAATTCATTGGTTCTACCCAGCATTTTAGACTATTTAAAAATAAAAACAAGGACTGGGTGAGGTGGCATGTGCCTACCTACAGTCCCAGCTACTACGGAGGCTGAGGTGAGAGGATCGCTTGAGTCCAGGAGTCCAGGGCTATAGTGTGCTATGACTGCACCTGTGCATAGCCACTGCACTCCATCCTGGGCAACAACGCAAGACCCCATTTCAATAAAGAGATTAGATAGATAGATAGATAGATAGATAGATAGATAGATAGATAGATAGATGGATGGATGGATAGATAGATAAAATAAAACACCCTCTTTGGTAAAGATAAAACATGTTGGAAGCTTACCTAACATTTTGCTTACATAAGGCTCAATGTCCACATCCTGTAGATGTTGATAAGTGTGTGCATGATAGAGACGAAGCGTAGAATCCAAGCGAATGGAGACCCACACGCCATCCCCCACCCACGCAAGCTGTCGTACTTGGCTCTCCTTCCTGGGATGTGCATCAAAAGATTTCTAGGAGAGATTGTCCAATCACAAAGTTACTTTTGCTACATAGGATTTCATATTTAAAACTGTGCTAATTTGCACAAGTTAGCAGACTATTGAAAGAGAAGTCCAAATACTATATATTAAACATGATTACTCATATACACAACTGTTTTCATCCTAGAATGCAAAACAAAATAAAGAACTAAGAACAGGATATTGGACTTGAGCACTATATAAGATATCACACAGCAATACTAGCATATCCACACTATGTAACAGTGTTCAACAGAAAGATTTTCTTAATTTTTTAAATTTTGAGACAGAGTCTTTGCTCTTGTCACCCAGGCTGGAGTGCAATGGCGCAATCTCAGCTCACTGCAACCTCCCCTTCCTGGGTTCAGGCAATTCTCCTTCCTCAGCCTCCTGAGTAGTGGGATTACAGGCACACACCACTATGCCGGGCTGATTTTTATATTTTTAGTACAGCAGGCTTTCACCATACTGGCCAGGCTGGTCTCAAACTCCTCACCTTAACTGATCTGCCCGCCTCAGCCTTCCAAAGTCCTGGGATTACAAGCATGAGCCACCGCACCTGGCCTAACAGAAAGATTTTATCTCCAGATTTTGTGTTGTTGCAGAGCCCCTGTGTTGAAGTAAAATCACAATTATAATTAATCAGGCTGGGTGCTGGTGGCTCACACCCGTAATCTCAGCACTTTGGGAGGCCGAGGTGGGAGGATCTTTTGAGTCCAGGAGTTTGAGATCAGCCTGGGCAACATGGTGACACCCCAACTCTACTATAAATACAAAAATTAGCTGGGCATAGTGGTGCACACCTGTATTCCCGGCTACTTGGGAGGCTGAGGTGGGAGGACTGCTTGAGCCCAGTAGTTTGAGGTCAGTCTGGGCAACATAGCAAGACCCCGTCTCTACAAAAAAATTAAAGAAAAATTAGCCAGGTGTAATGGTGTGCCTGTGATCTCAGCTACCTGTGAGGCTGAGGCAGGAGGCTTGCTAGAGCCCAGGAGTTTGAGGCTGCAGCGAGTTATGATTGCGCCCCTGTACTCTATCCTGGGTGACAGAGTGAGACCTTGTTTCAAAACAAACAAACAAAAATACCAAAATATAATTAAACTGAAAGGAACCCACACTGCTGTATATGTGTGTGAGGAACAGGCTGAGCATTCCCAATCCAAAAATCTGAAATCTGAAATGCTTTAAAACCCGAAGTGTTTAAGTGCTGATATGATACATAAGCCACCCTGAACACAGTATTTTTTCTACTGCACTAATGGTATATCATATTTTTCACTGTTATAAAGTATACAGGAAACATAAATAAATTTTATGTTTAGACTTTGTGTTCCATGCCCAAGATATTTCATTATTTATGTATATGCAAATATTCCAAAATCTGAAAATAATCCAAAATGTGAAACACTTTTGGTCTCAAGCATTTTGAATAAGGGATACTTAACTTGTGTGTGGATGGATGGATGGATGGATGGATGGATGGATGGATGGATGGATAGATGGATAGACAGCCAGATAGCTAGCTAACTAGATATATATAAACAGATATACAGATAGATAAATATAGAGAGAATTGATATTAAAAAAACAAACAAATGGTTAACTTTGAGACTTCCAGGGAAAGAAATGTGATTTGGGGGAGGGTGAAGGAGAGCTTTCACCTTACAATTTCCTGTATGCTTTTTTTTTTTTTTCTAAACAATTAGAATGCATTTATGTATTGTGGCAAAAAAAAAAAAAAAAAAAAAAAAAAAAAAACTGTAAGAAAACAATGCTAGGCTGGATGTAGTGGCTCACGTCTGTAATCCCAACACTTTGGGAGGCCAAGGCGGGCCGATCACGAGGCTGGGAGTTCGAGACCAGCCTGGCCAACATGGTGAAACCCCATCTCTACTAAAAATATTTAAAAAATTAGCCGGGTGTGGTGGCGGGCGCCTGTAATCCCAGCTACTTTGGAGGCAGGAGAATTGCTTGAACCTGGGAAGTGGGGATTGCAGTGAGCCAAGAACGTGCCACTGCACTCCAGCCTGGGTGACAGAGCAAGACTCTGTCTCAGGGAAAAAAAAAAAAAAAAAAAAAAAGAAATCAATGCTAGGAGGTTAGGAGGTTTTCATTTTTACAACAAATTCCCAGTGCAATGTTATTTCTGCCTGGGACACATATATGGATGTGCCTGGATTACACATGGGGAGGACAGGGAGGAATCCTCTTCTCAAACAATCCTCATATAACTAAACATATCAAGAACCATGTATTCAAACAAAAACACATACATATCTCTGGATACATACACTAACACACATTTAAACATTCATGTAGAAATCCTCTTTCCTTTTTAAAAAAGCCACTTCTTACCCTCACAGTCAAAAGTGGCAAGAGAGTTAAGTAACACAGAAAGCCTAAGATATTCAAATACATTACTCAAGTGCCCTAAAACACACAGATCCAGAAACAATTTCTAAAGAAGCTGAAAATAATTATAGTCTAATAGTCTTCGGATAATACAGATTCAATAAATATAGAAAACATAGGCTAATAACTTGCCTCTATTTTCATGGCCTTTGGCTGCACCACATAGATTTTGTTCCTATAGCCACACCAGACTTTGTCATGTACCACAGTCATGCAACGGATGGAATGATGAGGCCGTCCAAGGTCTAAGAGGTGATAGTTTGACAAATCCCACTGCCCATCTTTAAAAGAAATAAAAGGTTATAGTAAATGCATACCAACTGTTACTCAATTTCAACACAAGAAACATTGTATTTGTTGTATAATTAAAGTTACTGAAGAAGCACTCAAAGTCCCATGTACTAAGTATATCTTTTATTTGCAGCCTGGGTTCTTTTATTCCATAAGCTGCAAAGTTGGAAGAGACCCTCAAAGATCATCTGCTTCAAACTGCCACCCAGTACTCAGACCCCCTTTAAAACATGCTCACAAAAGCAGGGATGTGATGATAAATCAGTTACAAGTTATCTGTTTATCATAATATATTTAGAATTAGAACAGACTTAAGGTTATTTTGGGAATAATGTCTCTCACTCACGTACATTTTGATATATTTTCTTGGGTAGAAGTTGAGGGCAACTCATCGCTAACACTTTAGGAATTATGCATACTACATTTTCAGTGATAATAGAAATATGAAGGAGAACCAGTCACCAGAACCTTGCTTTGCGTTGTTAGTTTTTGTGAGCACACTGCCTCACAAAGCAGCCATTCCATTTTCAGACAGCTTTAATTGAAAAATACTACCCACACCTAGCTAAAGTCTGTCTTTTTGTATGTAATCACCCATTCGTCTGCAGTTTTGCAGAGTGGAAACAAAAGAATAAATCCAGTCCAAACTTCCTCTTTACAGCCCTATGTCTTCTCTTTTCAAAACCAAGTATCTTTGGCACGTGCTCTGTACCTACCACAGTTTTATAGACCCTTCGTCCTAACTCTGTTTTGTTGATATCCATTGAATATGCTGTCTTTATCTAGCCTAGTAGAGCAGGATTATCACCAGCCTTGTCCTGTATACTTTTTTTTCTTTGAGGCTTAAAGGCATTAAACTCATATTACCTAAAGTCAACCTTTAGGTAATTCTCACTCTTTAGACATGTCTCCCCATTTTGCTCTTCTGAACTCAAATGCAGGACTTTACATTGACACTTACTAAATGTATTTTACTTGTCTTATTCTGTCAATATTATTTTGAATTCAATTTACTAAAACATTCATTGTTTCACTTTTTTTCTAGGCTTTCCCACTTATTAGCTGAGTGGCCATGAAAAAGTGACCAAAATGCTCTGTGTTTCAGTTTCCTCATCTATAAAATGAGGATGGCCATGGAACTTTCTTAATAATTTAACGTAAAGATTAAATATAGATAAAGGGTTGAAAAAGGTAAAATGCAGCCCTCTCGCTCTTTGATGATATGGAGTCATTAATCAGCAATTTTCAGGTACCAATCAATTACAAAAGCACCTGTCATCTACTCCACATTTCCCCAAGCCCAGAAAGATAGGAGATTTTGGGAAAAGTTTTTCTAAAATCCAAATTCAAGGTATCTATGTTTCATAACACTTCCCAGATATACCAATCAAGTGGGTAGAAAATGATGTGTCATTTTTGGTTGACACAAGTACCAAGGAGTTATGGAGGAACACATACTAAATTCCCTCAACTTAATTCATTCAAGGTAAGGTTTCTGATACCACCACCCCTCTATAGATGAAACAATGGTTTTAAAGGGGGAAAAGTAAATAAGGTGACATGAAAATGATTAAACCTTACCCAATTAAAATTATTTAAAACAAAGTCCAAATGTTAAGCGGACACAAATTATTTTTAAAACATAGGACATTAAAATAATACCAAGTTTCTCTGAATTGCATAAGCATATGAATAAAAAACAAATGCCTCCCTATCACATTATTTAAAAGTACAATAAAATGCCCACTGTGGTAAACATATTTTTATTTTCCCTAAGGCATCTGTTAATGTATACCTCCATGCAGGCACTAATATATTTACTGATGTTGTGTATTGTTATTTATTCTTTATCCTACTGAGTATCATTTCTTTAAAACATAAGCCAATCTACTTAAAAATGCTTTGCAAAGCAACAAATTAGCGTCCATGTTATATACACATCACCACTCACCCACTCCTCTGTGAAAGATTGCAAGGGTGCCATCAGCCAGGGCTACTAACACGATTCCCTTCACGTGTCTGCAAACAGGAAAGGGGAGTTCAGAACTCTCCATTCAGGAATACAGAGGGGACCACAGGGTACTGAACTAGTTCAGGGCCTCACAAAGGACCAATCTGTGATGAGTTAAGGAGCTGACACCAGAACATCAATGAACACACCGCTTTCTTCATTGTGCATGTACTGCTGTGAAAAATGTCAGCTGAACTAAATAAACAGCATGAGTGGTATCTCAGTTGTTTTACTTTCTGGCCCAAGCTTCTCCTCTCATCACAGACAATCAACACAAATTCCAAAGACCAGAGACACGCACCTTGAGTAGAACCAACAGAGTCAGCTCTGTGGGCTCAGAGATAAACTGTCTGATTTTTGATAGGGAACACATAGAAAAGAACTAGTAAATCAATGCCCCAATCAACATATTCACAAGCCATAAAGAACATTCTAAAATAAACATAAATTAATAGGTATTGGTTCTTTCCTGTAGTACTAAAGAACTCCCAGTATGGTGAGGACTCAATCAAGCAAGTTTTCCTTTCTACTTGGTTTTCTATTATACAGTTTCATTCTCACTTAACTTCTCTAATTCCATAAAAAGGGTGAAAAAAAACAAACAAATCTGGATACTAATTTAGTCCTGAAACATGTATTAGCTTTCAAAGTCTTAAATTCTAGTTTATACCAAAATGCACAGTTTTAACAAGAAGAATTTCCAAAATAAAACTTACACAATACTGAGAATCGAATCTTTAAGTTTAATGGAATGGAGACATTTCCTCCACTGGGCTACAGATGAATGGACATACAAACTGCAAGAACAAAGTCAACACTGGTAAGGCATAGAGAACATCAAGACATTGCATATATCTAATAATGATTGAGAAGTTCATTCAGAAGGAAAGAAGAGTAACATAAATTTTAGGAAAAGGTGCTGCTGCTTTTGTGCAATGGTCAGAAAAGAAAAATGAGAGTGAGGGTAGGCCTAAGGTAGAGAAATAGGCTGCTGAGCAAAGAGAAACATATGAAGACTGAAAAGCAGGAACTAGTGCAATGCACAGTCAGTTTCACACACTTACTCCTTGGGCAAAACTCCTTTTTTTGAATTACCTTACCTCTCTACTAGACTGACCTATAACTTTTGGGTGACAGAGTGGCCCACATAGGGAGTGGCAAACTATTGCCTACAGGCCAGATCCAGTCTGCCACCTGTTTTAATCCAGCCTGCAAGCTAAGAATAGTTTTTATATTTTTAAAGGTGTGTGTGTGTGGGGGGGGGAAATCAGGGGTATTTTGTGACAGGGGAGATTTATATGAAATTCAAATTTCAGTGCCCATAATGCTCTACTGGAAGACAGCTACGCTAAGTTTGCCAACTCCTCACTTTACAGTATTAGACTCGTATGAAAAAGACGTACTACAGGTTGAGTAACCCTTATTTGAAATGCTTGGGACCAGAGGTGTTCGGATTTCTGACTTTTTCAGATTTTAGAGTGTTTACATTATATATAACAGTTGAGTATTCCTAATTCAAAAATCCAAAATGCTCCAATGAGCATTACCTGCCAGCGTCATATCAGTGGTCAAAAAGTTTCAAATTTTGGATTAGAGATGCTCAACAGTAATCCTGCCTAACCTTTGGAAATGCACAATTTTGTAAAACTCTCCATGTGACTGAAAAGTGAACAAACCATATAATATTAGTTATCATCATCTGACTTTTCAGATTATGATTTGTTTTGCCTATCTTAGTAAAAAATTTATTAAAAGTTGGGATTGGGCCTTCCTGCAGCCAAAATGTTGGTTTAATCCCAGTTTTCCTGCCCACATTCTAGCCTACATAAATTAAATATTCTCTGTCTTTGTGCTGTTCAGGATCTTCTATTTCTGTATCAGCTCCATTTTAAAATTTTACGTACCTCTTCTTCCAAGAATATTATAGAAAGGGAACATTCTGTGACAAAGAAACATATGGCTTACCATTCAGAACCAGTGCAAGTCCAGTTTATGTGGTAGTTACAACATAACATCAAATTGTGTGTATATATAAAATTCTTTCCATTAATCCACACTTTTTGTATTTGTGTTTAGCATATTTTACTTATCTTCCAATTTCAAAAGCAAAAGTAAAACAATAAACATATTCTAATGTTAAAAGTGTTGGCACCTACCAGCCATTTTGAGCTCCAAGCCACATAGTTGGTAAAAGACTACTCATTTTCTGGGCTTCTTCTCTCACCAGGTCTTGTTCATTTGGCAGTACTGATATTTGATCTTTATATGCATCTGAGTCATTGCTGGAAAGGTAGGGCAAAAGGAAAGACATCTGAGTATACTTAACTATAGTTTTCAGGGACTGAATACTTCTATATTTAAGTTTGTTCATTTGTTTATTATTTATTTATTTTTTAGAGATAGGGTATCACTCTGTCACCCAGGCTGGAGTACACTGGCACAAACAGGGCTCACTGCAGCCTTGACCTCCCAGGCTCAAGTGATCTTTCCACCTCAGCCTCCTGAATAACAGGGACTAGAGGCACACACACTATCACACCTGGCTGAAACTTCTAGTTAAAAAAAAAAAAAAAGGAAACCACCAAAATTCCAGAGAAGCCAAAGTCAAAAGCTTACATCACATATTTCAACAATTGTATCAGAAATAACATTAACAAACTAGGAAGCCCAAGGAGCAGATAAGATAATAAGACATAGTAATGAAATACAGCAGTTAATATTCAGACTATTATTATGACTGTCTCTTATTTTGGGTTTTGTCATAGTTTCTTCTCAGGTGAGAGAGAAGGAGGGATACACACATGCAAAAAGAAGGAAGATATATAAAGAGTTACCTAAAATAAATTAATAAACTGAAATATGTTTAATGTTCTACCACAAAACTTTTCTTTTGAATTGTCAGGGCATAATAGCCAGGCTATCAAATTCAAACATGACTTATTCTTAAATTAATAATTCAGGCCAGGTGCGGTGGTTCATGCCTGTAATCCCGGCACTTTGGGAGGGCAAGGTGGGCGGATTTCTTGAGGCCAGGAGTTTAAGACCAGCCTGGCCAACATGGTGAAACCCCCCCCCCCCATCTCTACTAAAAATACAAAAATTAGCTGGGCATGGCAGCACATGCCTGTAATCTCAGCTGCTTGGGAGGCTGAGGCAGGAGAATTGCTTGAACCCGGAAGGCGGAGGTTGCAGTGAGCTAAGATTGCACCACTGCACTCCAGCTTGGGTGACAGGGTGAGATGCCATCTCAAAAAAAAAAAAAAAAAAGAATTAAATGTTAACCCATTTATGCCAGAGATTGTAAATTTTTTTTTGTAAAAAATCAGGCCTTAGCGATGACCTTGAGCAGTAGGATATGAATAACTCCCATAATCTTAGCATTCCAATAATGGACCACTAGGCATAAATGGGTTATTAATTAATCTTGCTTACTTTATACACTAAGAGGAAGAATATTAAACTTTAAAAAGGATCTAGTTTAAAGAGACTCTCATCTAGAGGGGATCTAGAAAAGGCAAGAAAGAAAATGAAATAATTCACTAAATGGGCCTAGATTAACCAACCCTTTAAAGGAAGAGCCTAAAACAAATTGTTTTGTTTGTTTGTTTTCTGAGACAGAGTCTTGTTCTGTTTCCCAGGCGGCAGTGCAGTGGTGAGATCATGGCTCTCTGTAGCCCCCAGCTCCCAGGGCTCAAGCAATCCTCCCGCCTCAGCCTCCTGAGTAGCTGGGACCACAGGTGCGTGCTACCATGCCCAGCTAATCATTAAGTTTTTTGTAGAGATGAGGGTCTCACTACGTTGCTTAGGATGGTCTTGAATTCCTGGACTCAAGCAATCCTCCTGCTCTGGCCTCCCAAAATGCTGGGATTATAGGCATGAGCCACTGGAACCATCTGAATTGTTTTTAATAAAATATTTGCACAAAAACTAAATTCAAAAAGGTCATTCACACCCATGTGGGAAACTTGAACAATGGTAGATTTAAACAATGGACAATTTTGCTGATAACTGGAGTAAAAATTAGAGTAGGGATGGGATTAAAATGACAAAGAATTACTAATAGAATGGAAAACAGTAAGTACAAAAAAAAAAAAAAAAAAAGAAAGAAAGAAAGAAAAAAAAAAAAACAGACCAGAGGAGAAAATGAACAGGAAGATTTTGACTAATATATAGTCATACACCTGGTAAAACCATTTTGGAAAATGATGGACAGCATATATGGTGGTGGTTCCACACGATTATACTACTACATTTTTACAGTACCTTGTGCATGTTTACATACATAAATACTTATCATTATGTTCCAATTATCTACAGTATTCAGTACAGTAATATGCTATACAGGTTTCTAGCCTAGGAGCAATGGGCTACACCATATCGCCTAGGTGTGTGATAGGCCATACCATCTAGATTTGTGTAAATGCACTCTATGATGTTCACACAATGATGAAATCACCTGACGCATTTCTCAGAACATATCCCCATTGTTGAGTGATGCATGATTATATTTTTATAGATACGATTTTTTTTTAAGTTGGAAGGTGTACGGAAGAAATGGGAGGGAATATCCAGCGAGAATGATGGAGATGGAATACATGAAGATATCACAAGAATAGGTATCTTTTAGTCCACCACAGTGACACTAATTAGTGGAAATCTTTTGACTGTTTGAGATTATTTTGGTTCCTTTTATCTGTGCACTTCACCCAGTTTCCTAAGTTGATGACCTATTATTATACCTCGACTGATACACTGGGGAGAGGTCTTCTGGGATTTGAACTCCCAAAGGATCTGTAAAGACATGCTCTGTGTAGACGCCAGTTTGGGAGATGTCCACTGTGTCTTCAGCTGATCCCGCATTCCCTTCTGTAGCTTCAGTTGCTTCTTCTGCTGTTGGAACATTTTCATCAACCTCACTATTTTCTGCTTCCATTTCTACAAAGTAAATAAAACACTATTCCGAGTCTGGGCTTTTCTCCTCCAATTATTTCCCCACACAAACCCCTGTTACAGAATTCCATTCCATCTACCCACTCCTTCACACTGTATCATTAAATTAAGAATTCTTGATTCCATTTAACAGTCATTACAGCATCTTTTTTTTTTTGAGATGGAGTCTCGCTCTGTCACCCAGGCTGGAGTGCAGTGGCACAATCTCGGCTCACTGCAAGCTCCACCTCCCGTGTTCACGCCATTCTCCCTCCTCAGCCTCCCCAGTAGCTGGGACTACAGGCACCCGCCACCATGCCTGGCTAATTTTTTGTAATTTTTAGTAGAGATCAGGTTTCCCTGTGTCAGCCAGGATGGTCTTGATCTCCTGACCTTGTGATCCGCCTGCCTTGGCCTTCCAAAGTGCTGGGATTACAGGCATGAGTGACTGCGCCTGGCCTACAGCATCTTCTTTCAAGTTCTTTCAACCTTGTTACTTAAGATCTAAATTAAGTCCATAATGAGGCATCTGAAGGTAGCCTTAGACTCTATACAGATGGCAGGTAAAGAGAATGGATATACCTGGTGGTTTATCCATCACTGGAGAAGCACCATTGGTACTAGGTGAAGTTGCAGCTCCTGTCACACCTTCTGCAGAACAACCAACCACCGTGATGCCTCCTAACAGGCTGTCTGTCTCTGCTGAGCTGTTGCTTGTCATGCTTCCACATAAAGATGCTTTGTCTACCTGACCAGATTCTGAAAGATCTTCTCCTGCAGGGTAGTCTGTTTCTCGTGCACCTGAAAAATAAATCTTCTTGTAACAGCAAAGTAAACTTCTATAAATCACATTTTTTTCACTAAAACAATTACAGGTTTGAAATGTGAGGTGTACAGCTAGTTGAATACAGGTAACATTAAATTTACATAAACAAATCTTCAAAATATGGGAAGGCAACTTTAAAAAATGAAGATAATACTTCTATTAACACAAGTGCAAATAAACATAAAAATGTCAGAAAAGAAACTTTTGTTCTTTTTCTTTTCTTTTTTTGAGACAGAGTCTTACTCTGTCGCCCAGGCTGGAGTACAGTGGCATGATTTCAGCTCACCGCAACCTCCGCCTCCTGGGCTTAAGTGATTCTCCTGCCTCAGCCTCCTGAGTAGCTGGGACTACTGGTGTAAGCCACCATGCCCAGCCAATTTTTGTATTGTTGGAAGAGACAAGGTTTCAGTATGTTGGTCAGGCTGGTCTTGAACTCTCGGCCTCAAGGGATCCACCAATCTCAGCCAAGTCCTGGGATTACAAGCACGAGCCACCATGCCTAGCCAACTTCTGTTCTTAGTGAGCGCCTCAGCAACCACAGGTTAAAAACAATCTATTATACCTGACAACGTCAGTCAAAAAAAAATTTCTTTTAAATTATCAAGACTACTACTACTACTACTACTTGAAGTATAAGCTTCTATCCATTACTGTTAAAAATTAAATACCCCAAGTATATAGGGTGACTTAGTTATTAGTAAAACATTAAAAATTAAGCATTTATAATATAAAAAATATTTACAATGTAAAAATAAATCTCATTTTTTAATTTAGAAAATTGTTTTATTTATATCACACTAAAAACTTTTATTGCAGTAAAAAAATATATAAACAAAATTTGCCACTTTAACCATTTAAAAGTATACAATTCAGTGGCATTAATATTTACAATATTGGCATTAATATTTACAACACTCTGTAGCCATCATCACTATTTTTTTTTTGGAGACAGAGTTTTGCTCTTGTTGCCCAGGCTGGTGTGCAATGGTTCAGTCTTGGCTCACTGTAACCTCCGCCTCCCAGGATCAAGCGATTCTCCTGCCTCAGCCTCCCAAGTAGCTGCGATTACAGGTGCCTGCCACTGCACCCGGCTAATTTTTGTATTTTTAGTAGAGATGGGGTTTTACCATGTTGGCCAGGCTGGTCTCGAACTCCTGACCTCAGGTGATCCACCAACCTCAGCCTCCCAAAGTACTGGGATTACAGGCGTAAGCTACAATGCCAGGCCCTTTTTTTTTTTTTTTTTTTTTAAAAAAAAACAAAACAAAACACAGGGTCTTACTCCCGTTGCCCAGTGGGGAGTGTAGTGGTGTAATCACAGCTCATTGCAGCCTCGACCTCCCAGGCCCAAGTTATCCTCCCACCTCATTTTTTGATTTTTTTGTGGAAATGAGGTCTCACTATATTGCCCAAACTGGTCTTGAACTTCTGGGCTCAAGTGATCATCCCACCTTGGCCTCTGAAAGTGCTGGGATTATGAGGTGAACCTCCATGCCCGGCCTATTTCTAAAGCTTCTCCATCACCTCACACAGAAACTCTGTTTTTATGAATTTACCTCTTCTAGGCATCTCATATAAGTGGAATCATATATTTGTCCTTTGTGTCTGGCTTATTTCCTTTGGCGTAGTGTTTCCAAGGTTCATCTGTGTTAGAGCGTGTGTCAGAACTTCTACCTAGAGGATAATGCATTGCACTCTTAAACATCTGTTAAGAGGGCTGGGCATCCCAGTACTCTGGGAGGCCAAGGCAGGCAGATCACTTGAGCCCAGGAGTTCCAGACCAGTCTGGGCAACATGGTAAAACCCTGTCTACAGAAAGTACAAAAAACTTAGCCAGGTGTGGTGGTGTGCGCCTGTGGTCCCAGCTACTCAGGAGGCTGAGTTGGGAGGATCACTTGAGCCTGGGAGTCATGGTTGCAATTGAGTTGTGAATGCACCACTGCAATCTGGCCTGGGCAACAAAGTGAGACCCTGTCTCAAAAAACAAAAATAAAAATTTGTTAAGAGGGTAGATCTCAGGCTGGGTTCAGTAGCTCATGCCTGTAATCCCAGCACTTTGGGAGGCCGAAGTGGGTGGATCACTTGAGGTCAGAAGTTCAAGACTAACCTGACTGCCAGGCGTGGTGGGTCACGCCTGTAATCTCAGCACTTTGGGAGGCCGAGGCAGGTGGATCACGAGGTCTAGGGGTTTGAGACCAGCCTGGCCAATATGGTGACACCCTGTCTCTACCAAAAATACAAAAATTAGCTGGGTGTAATGGCTCGTGCCTGTAGTCCCAGCTACTTGGGAGGCTAAGGCAGAAGAACTGCTTGAACCCAGGAGGTAGAGGTTGAAGTGAGCTGAGATGGTGCCACTGCACTCCAGCATGGGTAACAGAGTGAGACTCCATCTCAAAAAAAAATTAAAATAAAATAAAAAGACTAGCCTGACCAACACGGCAAAACCCCGTCTCTAGTGAAAATGCAAAAAAGTAGCCAGGCATGGCGGCAGGCGCCTGTAATTCCAGCTACTCGGGAGGCTGAGGCAGGAGAATCACTTGAACCCGGGAGGTGGAGGTTGCAGTGAGCCAAGATTGTGCCACTGCACTCCAGCCTGGGTAACAGAGTAAGACTCTGTCTCAAAAAAAAAAAAAAAAAGTATCTCATATTAAGTGTTCCACAATAAAATATAAAATATAGAAAAGAACTTCATTCCTTTTCATGACTGAATAATATTCCAACATATGGATATATCACATACACCTCTTTAATTTTTAAACTAATGTTTTAACATCACATAATGTTTAATCCAAAACTTTAGAAGACCTTTCCTTATTAATTAATCCAAACAGTTCTCTGGCTCCCAGTTATCTTCTCAAATTCCCATTGTTTTATTTTCTTCACAGTTATTTTCACTACCTGAAAATATCTTCTTTATTTAATGGTTTCCAGTTTGTTTTTTAATCCTCCCCAACTAGAACATAAGCTTCATGACAGCAAGGTCAAGAACTGCATCTTCAGCTGCCACATCAATGTCCAGCAGGTAGGTGGTGTGGATGGAGGGGAGGGCAGAGAAACGCATGACTCACTCTTACCTGGTACACTTGCAATGCACAGAACATGAGAGTTGCAAACAGTGAAACTGTCTAGAATGTTGCCAGGTTGAACAGCATCAATAATAAGAACTTTTGTAGCCGAATGAGTGCTGGTACAGATCCAGACTAGACTGGATAATTCTTCTTGATTTTTTAACTCCTTCTGCTGTTCCTGTATAGACAAAGGACGAAAAATGTTTCAAACAATAAGTATGTGCAAATATTCATAAGGTGGTGCTGTTACAGTTAAAGGGAATACTATTTCAAATTTATTTCCAGATTATTTGGAAGGATAAAAATACAACCACTGATGTGGTTTGGCTGCATCCCTACCCAAAGCTCAACTTGAATCATATCTCCCCGAATTCCCACGTGTTGTGAGAGGAACCCAGCGGGAGGTAACTGAATCACAGGGCCAGTCTTTCCTGTGCTATTCTCGTGATAGTGAATAAGTCTCACGAGATCTGACAGGTTTATTAGAGGTTTTCACTTTTGCTCATTTTCACTTTTGCTCGTTTTCACTCTTCCTCATTTTCTCTTGCTGCCACCATGTAAGAAGTGCCTTTCATCTCCTGCCATGATTCTGAGGCCTCCCCAGAGGTTACCTATGTAATCCCAACTAAACTTCTTTTTCCTTCCCAGTCTTGGGTATGTGTTTATCAGCAGTGTGAATACAGACTAATACAACCACCTATCAATATTAATTAGTAGATGAAAAACTAGCAGTTAGGCTGGCAGAGTGGCTCACGTCTGTAATCCCAGCACTTTGGGAGGCTGAGGTGGGAGGATTGCTTGAGACCAGGAGTTTGAGACTAGCCTGGTCAACACAGTGAAACCCTCATCTCTACAAAAAAAATAAAAGAATTAGCCAGGTGTAGTGGTGTGGGTGTGTAGTCCCAGTTACTTGGCTGGCTGAGGTGGACGGATCACTTGAGTCCAGGAGGTTAACACTGCAGTGAGCCATGATCATGCCACTGCACTCCAGCCTATGTGATAGAGCGAGACTGTGTCTATAAACAGCAACAACAAAACTAACAGGTAAAGCAGAACAATGATAAAACGTTCTATTATCTTGATCACTGTAGTGATTACATAGGTGTACACATGTGTCAAAACTCTGCCCTATACCCCATTTCAAGTGCACATTTTATTGCATGTAAATTATACCTCGATAAAATTTATTTTAAAAGGGTGCTGAGGGACAGTAAGCCAGGGCATAATAATTCCAGTTAGAAGCTGGACCCAGAGGTGAATTTTGGATGAAAGAGTTAAACTCATAGTCTCATAAACCAGGTCAAATGTTACACACTTACCTTAAGTTCCTGATCTAACTTATCTAAACTACTCTGAGAGGCACTTCGCTGTTTACTGCCTTCTGTATCCAAACCAGCAACATCCTTGTAAAATACACTTGCTCCAACAACAGAACCACCATCTCTGGTCTTCCCACCAGATAAATTGACTCCAACAGCACACCACAGCTTCTCAGGTGAAAAAGAAAACAATATTAAGTCTAGAAATGTTTAGAATTTTCCTTTTTTCTTAAAATAACTAATGGTTGTAAATACAGGTCTTTAATATAACCTAAAATTATAAAATGAACAATAACCTCACCATAGAAGTAATACTTATGCTTTTTTGGTTTTAGAAAAAAAACTACCCAGAGTTTAGAAAATATCTCCTTTAAATTCACAATGAACTTACTTTCATTGATGTATCTTTTTCATCTAGAGGTCTGAGATAGACAGGCACAGGTAAATTTTTCATCTTATTTTCACCTTGACCATTGGTTACCTAATAATGGTGGAAGGAGGAGCGAAAAAGGCACATCAAAAGTGAAATTCTTACAGATCCACTGAGACATGAGCAAGCACTGCTGTTATTTACTCCCTGAAATCAAGCTCAGGTTTTTTTTTTTTTTTTTTTTTTTTTTTTGAGACAGGGTTGCTCTACTGCCCAGGCTAGAGTACAGTGGCTCGATCACAGCTCACTGCAGCCTCAATCTGCTGGGCTTACGTGGTCCCCTCCCACCTCAGTCTCCCAGGTAGCTGGGACTACAGGCACAGGCCACCACACCCAGCTAATTTTTTAAATTTTTTGTAGAGATGAGGTCATGCTGTGTTGCCTAGGCTGGTCTCAAACTCCCTGAGCTCAAGCCATTCTCCACCTTGGCCTCCTTGGCCTCCCAAAGTGTTAGGATTATAGGCATGAGCCAATAACAGGCATCATGAGCCGATGACAGGCATCAGCCAATTTTGCCATTCTTATTTCAGCAATTCAATAAACACGATACAATGGGAGCTCAAAAAGAGGCTCTAATTCACACATATGCGCACACATGCACACGCATATGTGTTTGTACATGAACATGTGAGTCTTTTGGGGTAGGAATTACGGAGTAGACAGATAAAGTTCCTGAAGACCTGAACTTAATTTTAAATGAACAGTTTGAAAAGTTCCATGCCAATGATTTTTTTCAATAATGACACTGGTTTTTCAAAAAACGAAATCTTCAAATATTAAACCAGAATTGCTCTGGTGACAGCAGAGCGGGTACCTCAAACTCCACGCACTTAGCCACCCTTTACTGACTCCTCCCCTCCTCACACACTCAGAGCATTTCATTTGAGTTCTACAGCTCCAGAAAACAGCCTGAAAACCACCACCCTCCATGCTTAAATGTGTGCCCAGTCCATGTGGCTGAGATGAGCAGGGCTGAGATGAGCAGGGTTGGGATGAGGACGGTGAATCCTTCATGCCCAGGCACACTCAACTCGCCCTCTTCTTTCCTGCTGGATGCTCTTACCACATGTGCATATTACCTGTTTGTACTTCTGAGGCAGACTCCAGCCAAAAGCCTGCACTCTACCATCTTCCTTCTGAACATGTGCTTTTACCTGACGATACTGCTCTCTCTTTTGTTCTCTGCGTGAGGCTAAACTAGCTTCAGTTCTAAAAGGAAAAAAGATTTTCCTTTTTAATTATGTGAATACATTTAATTACGTTTATCCCCAGTTTTATCTCTCCTCTGTCACTAAAACAGCAAAAACAACAAAAATTTACATGATTTCAAATTAGTTTATTCCAACTGTAACAGCTCCTTAAAAAGTGTTGTAACAGGCTGGGCACAGTGGCTTATGCCTGTAATCCCAGCACTTTGGGAGGCCAAGGAGGGCAGATAGCCTGACGTCAGGAATTCAAGAGCAGCCTGGCCAACATGGTAAAACCCCGTCTCTGCTAAAAATACAAAAATTAGCCAGGCATGGTGGTGCGGACCTATAATTCCAGCTACTCGGGAGGCTGAGGTAGGAAAATCATTTGAACCTGGGTAGTGGAGGTTGTAGTGAGCCAAGATGGCGCCACTGCACTCCAGCCTAGGGGACAAGAACAAAATACCATCTCAAAAAAAAAAAAAGGTGTTATACTAAAGCTGGTCTTTTTAAGTTTGTGTAGTGAATTCAGTGCCTAAGCTTTAACAGGTTAGCAAGCAGCTTTGTTACATTAAATTGAATCATCAGCCACCAAATTTATTTATTTTATTTATTTTTTTGAGACGGAGTCTCCCTGTCACCCAGGCTGGAGTGCAGTGGTGCGATCTCGGCTCACTGCAAGCTCCGCCTCCCAGGTTCACACCATTCTCCTGCCTCAGCCTCCCGAGTAGCTGGGACTACAGGCGCCCACGACCACGCCCGGCTGATTTTTTTGTATTTTTAGTAGAGACGGGGTTTCACCATGTTAGCTAGGATGGTTTCAATTCCTGACTTCGTGATCTGCCCGCCTTGGCCTCCCAAAGTGCTGGGATTACAGGCCTGAGTCACTGTGTTCGGCCCCAGCCACCAAATTTCTACCAGGTTTCAGATGCTGGCCATATGAAACAGGAAAATTCTTAAGTATTTTTGGCTTTTTTGTTGTTGTCGTTCATTCAACAAATATTTACTGAGAATATCCTAATGCCAGAAAATGTGCTGGAAGTGATTTAAAAATTGAATAAATCAGTATCTGCTTAGGAAGATTGATATAGGTTAGATTTTAGATCCCATTAACTTGTTTCAGAAGATAAAAATGCAAACTGATTTGGTAAACTTTGTACTTATAAGGTAAAATATTATTAAAATGATTTTGAAAATAATTTGCCATTCTTTTGGCCATTTAAATTTTCATAAGATGAGTTGCTATGTATATATACCACAGTTAACGTATCTACCTATATGTCAGATACTTTACAGATAATAATTGGATCCAATCACCTTTGAGATAGGTTATCAGATTAATTTTACAGACAGAGAAACTGGGGGCTCTGAAAGGTTAATTTGCCCAAGTATTTGTACCTAATGGGTAGTCAAATCAGGACAGAAAACCAGGTCCTTTGACACTAACAGAAATGTTCAGACATTTAGGATAAAGGCTCATTTATCTCTGAAAACCATTAACATTTCTATTAATAGGTATTTATCAATGTTATCATACCAGCAAAAATGAGGGATTTAAAAAAAATCCTCCTTTTATAAAAACTAAAATGCAATTTTCATAAAAACTGTTGACTATAAGTAATTTACTTAAAGATAGCCAAGTTACAGAAATGATTTTATTTCTTTATTTATTTTTTATTTATTTATTTATTTTTTGAGACGGAGTCTCACTCTGTCACCCAGGCTAGAGCAGTGGCATGATCTCAGCTCGCTGCAACCCCACCTCCTGGGTTCAAGCGATTCTTCTGCCTCAGCCTCCCGAGTAGCTGGGATTACAGCCACACGCCACCATGCTCAGCTAATTTTTGTATTTTTAGTAGAGACAGGGTTTCACCGTATTGGCTAAGCTTGTCTCCAACTCCTGACCTCATGATCCGCCCACCTTGGCCTCCCAAAGTGCTGGGATTACAGGCGTGAGCCACTGCGCCCAGCCCAGAAATGATTTTTTTATAGATTTACCTGAATCCTTATAGCTGATAAAAGGCCAAGAATATTCTGAACCATTAACTTAATTTAGAGTATAACAATTAATTTGAAGAGACTTACTCTTCACTAAGGAAATCAAAGGCTTTGGACTTATCCCCAGGGAGCTGAGATAAGGTGCTGCTTCTTTTCTTGACAGAGGGAGTAACATGAGATGTGGGTGCATTGTACTTCAGATTAACAGGTGGTTCAGGCTTCTTAGTTGTGTTACTTGAGGAGCTGAAAAGTCGGCTGAAACTAAAAGAAGAAAGTATGTCTGCATGTCACATGTACTGTGAGAAACAATCCTTGATGTTCCACAAACTTTTATGCGGAAGAAAATTTCAGAGCACTTTTACAAGGCAATGAATTAGAAATTGGCAAAAACAGTTTCTGTAGTCACACGCTGCAGCCTTAGCAATAACTCATAGCCAAACTCAGACATTCAGCGAAGAGAAACTATTGCTTAGATTGGCGGGTGCCTGTTCTTTAACCAGCAATTTCCATAATGAAAGCAAGAAGCTCTTAAGTAGAGGAAACTTCTCCTACTAAATAAATATATACTTTTTTGGTTTTTTTTGCTAGCTCCTACTTGGTGCAAGGTAAGAGCGATTGTTAAACAGCAAGGTTATGGCTGTGTGATGTGAATAGAAGCTTAGTATGTCAGTTCTAAAAATAGCTTATTATAATCAAGTACTAGCACACATATTACCATGTTAACACACATCTTATACATTTTCTGATTAAGCTCAATTTAAATAACTACTTTCAGGTCTATTTTTTTTTTAAACTGACACTTCCATTAAATAGCAGATTCACCAAAAATGGGTAAGTTTTAATCACAGTAAACACATAGTACTTCTAGCACAAACATAACCCAAGCCCAATACATATACAATACTACTCAAACCCTACAAGCACTAAATTCCTCATCTTCACTTTGTAAGGTTTCTTACAATTACAAAACCAGCCAATCAGAAACCTATTTAATGGGGATCCAGGTCACTTTCAAGTCTATAAATAATTCCCATTATTTAAATTTGGCAGAGGATTGCAACAAATGCACAATCAACATGATGCAGCTTACAATATCATATTTTTTGTCCTTGAGAACAGCCTTACCGAGTTGGCACACTATAGATTAAAAAAAAAAAAAAAGTTCAGTTTAGCTACTTACCCATTACCCTAGTTTAAAAAAAAATGAAGGAAAGACACCAACATGGCACAAGTATACATATGTAACAAACCTGCACGTTGTGCACATGTACCCTACAACTTAAAGTATAATAATAATAAATAAATTAAAAAAAAAAAAAAAGAAGGAAAGAAAATGGACATAAAATCATTCTTGGAAATAAATTTTGACTGCAATTTTCTTGTCTCATGTGCTGTCTAACGTCTTCATTTGTTTTTCAATACTTACAACTGCCAAATGCTTGACCTTTTTTTTTCCTGCATGGCTGGATTTTCTCGTGATGCCCTACATTCAAAAAGAAAAGAAAAGAAATATGTTATCAGTGAGGTAGTCTACCTTTCTTTCTGAAGAACAAGAGACCCAAGAAGTTCATGGGATACTCAGAGAGTCAACAATTAAATTCAATAAATACAGTAGTTACTTTGACCTACCATGTGTCAATCTGCTAAAGCTAATTCTACCAAGAAAAATAAAATTATCATCCCTCCCTCAAAGAGCTTAGTCTACCGACAGAGGATTATAATATGTGCTAGACAGATAGCCAACATGCCTGAATGGTATTTAACATTTTTTATTGAAAAGACACCCTCTAACTTTCCCTTTTATTAAAATATTGCCTTGTAAATTCCCATCTTTACATGAAAGTCTCTATCACCTGTATTCACAGCTCTTACAAAATAGCTTGAAACTTTGGCGTTCTGAGGGGTCATTTTTCACAAGACTAAAACTTCTCCGTGACTGGAAAGATGACCACAGCAGGGAAGAGGATAAACTTGATTGACAGGTAATTCAACAAAATTTCAGAAAATAGGATATTCCAAATTGATTTATAAGGTGGTAGGGATTCTGCCATCATAAACAGAGCTCCCTTTTCATTACTTTTTTGTTACGAACTAAATTAAAAGCATTCTTTAATTCAGTGAATAAGTTAAAAGTAAGCTACCATTTCCTTTAATTTGTTGACTACCACTTGGCTGCTAGAGTTAAAAACAGCAATGGAAAGTGAAGTCCGGCTGGGCACAGTGGCTCACGCCTGTAATCCCAGCACTTTGAGAAGCCAAGGCGGGTGGATCACTTGAGATCAAAAGTGCGAGACCAGCCTGACCAACATGACGAAACCCTGTCTCTACTAAAAAAATACAAAAATTAGCTGGGAATGGTAGTACACACCTGGAAACCCAGCTACCAGGGAGGCCAAAGCAGGAGAATTGCTTGAACCCAGTGGGTGGAGGATGCAGTGAGCTGAGATTGCACCTCTGCACTCCAGTCTGGGCAACAGAGCAAGACTCCATCTCAATAAATAAAGTCCACTTTCAGTTTTTTGAATATTTACTTACTATTTATTCGATATCCACTAAATACTGCAGTTAAGAACACACTTCTTAGTGGGTTAGTTTCATTGTCTAGTAAATATAGATTAGAATACTGATCTTCCTTATGGGCAGTTATAAGCAATTACAATTACAGCAAATTGTAAAATGATGTGTTAAAACACTTGATTCTAGTATAACATTGGTAAAGGGTACATAAACTGAAATAAATGATGTAATACTAAGGAAGTAAAAGTTGGCAATTAGGGAATATGCTCATAAATTTAAAAACAACATATGAATGTATACTATTATTGGTAAATCTGATGGGGACAGCTCATTTATAAACTTTTCGGGAGCTCTTTCTAAATTAAAGAAACACTATTACTGAGACTATGACCATTAGATGGCAGCATCGGGTGAGATTTAAGAGCCACCTGACTGAAAGATACCAATGGAAGGGTGTAATTGGCACAAACAGTTAGAAAAGAGGGAAAGACATCAAGCAAGAGTATTTGACAGAAAGACACTGAGTCAAAATAATTGATTTTCCTGTGTTGCATATGAAATTGTGATCTTTTCCTGACATTACCGGGAAAGTAGTATTGATTTCTACACATGAAAAATGACCATCATTCCTAAGTAATAATAATTGCCTTTTAGAGGTCATCGTAACATCCTCCAAGATCCCTTACTGGCCCAAAAAGCACCTCCTTTGATCACATTCTGTTGCTAATTCTGAGTGTTACTTTAGAAAGTCTCTCCTAGTAAACAGAGAAAGGGACTTGGATCTCACAGGGCAGGACTTTAGTTCCAAATGAAGGAATATTCAAACCTACAAAATAATAGTAGGAAAATAATGGAGTGCTTGTTATACACACCGAATCATCTCTGTCCATCGAACAGCTTCTTGAAGCTCCATCAATCTCTCTTTATACTGGTTTCTCTCCATAAGAACACGGGCCATTTCTACTCTAGTAAACCGTTTCCTCTGGGCTGTGGGAATATCACTCTATAATGACAAGAAAATGAGAGATCATTCTGGAAGCTTGTATATGTCTTGGTGTTCATCTCAGAGTTATGCAAAATCTTCCAGTTTTTAAGCATTCCTTAATTTCTAATCTAGTAGATCATTTAAAGAAAAATGGCCTTATAACAAAATCAACAAAGAGATTTTTTAAAATTATTTTTTAAAATATATTTTTTGAGACAGGGTCTTGATCTGTTGCCCACCCTGAAGCACAGTGGTGAAATCACAGCTCACTGCAGCCTCAAACTTCTGCGTTAAAGCAATCTGCCCACCTCAGCCTCCTGAGTAGCTTGGACTACAGGTACATGCTAACATGCCTGATTAATTTTTAAATTTTTTTGTAGAGACAGGGTCTCGTTATGTTGCCCAGGCTGGTCTTGAAATACTGGACTCTAGTGGTCCTCCTGCCTCAGCTTCCCAAAGTGTTGGGACTATAGGTGTAAGCCACTGTGCCCAGCCAACAAAGAGATTTAAATAATCACTCATGACTACAAAGATAAAAGGTGGCAATTTAATTTCTGAATATATACACACATATTTGAACATATTACAAAGAAATCATAAAGAGTAGTGGGGGTCTATTCTTGTAGTTCTTAAAAATATATGAAAAATAAGGCTAAAAAATAGAATAGTAGGGGGCAGGACACATTGGCTCACGCCTGTAGTAGCAGCACTTTGGGAGTCTGAGGCAGGTAGATTGCTCGAGCTTAGTGAGACCAGCCTAGGCAACATAGTAAAACCCAGTAGCCAGGAGTGGTGGCACACATCTGTAGTTCCAGCTACTTGGGAAGCTGAGGTAGGAAGATGGCTTGAGCTGGGAGGTCGAGGCTGCAGTGAGCCATGATCATACCACTGCAGTTCAACTTGGGCAAGAGAGTGCAATCCTGTCTTTAAAAAACAAAACTACAACAACAACAACAAAAAAACAGTAGGGCCAGGCATGATGGTCCATGCCTATAATCCTAGCACTTTGGGAGTATCACCTGAGCCCAGGAATTTGAGACAGCCTTGGCAATGTGGTGTGAGATCCCATCTCTACAGAAAATAAAAAATTAGCCAGGTATGGGGTGGCACACAACTTTGGTCGCAGCTACTCAGGAGGCTGAGGTTAAAAAAATAAAACTTGCATAGAATTGCTCGAGGCCAAGAGTTCAAGACCAGCCTAGGCAACACAGTGAGACCCTGGCTCTACAAAAAATTAAATTAAATTAATAGCCAGGTGAGGTGGCATGCACCTGTAGTCCCAGCTACTTGGGAGGTTGAGGTAGGAGGATCACTTGAGCCCAGGAGTTCAAGGCTGTAGTGAGCTATGATTGTCACTGGACTCCTCCAGCCTGGGTGACACAGCGAGACTGTCTTTAAAAAATAGTAATAATACTAAAATAAAAATAAAGAATAGTGCAGATTTTAAACTAAAACCAAAATTGTAGCCGGGCGCGGTGGCTCAAGCCTGTAATCCCAGCACTTTGGGAGGCCGAGACGGGTGGATCACGAGGTCAGGAGATTGAGACCATCCTGGCTAATACGGCGAAACCTCGTCTCTACTAAAAATACAAAAAAAACTAGCCGGGTGATTTGGCGGGCGCCTGTAATCCCAGCTACTCGGGAGGCTGAGGCAGGAGAATGGCGTAAACCCGGAGGCGGAGCTTGCAGTGAGCTGAGATCTGGCCACTGCACTCCAGCCTGGGTGACACAGCGAGACTCCGTCTCAAAAAAAAAAAAAAAAAAGAAACACCGAAATTGTTATCTACATAGATTTAATATGCTATTGTAAGTTTCAACTAAAAATGTTGCTCTAACATTATTTTAAATCATGCTCTGTAACAATTGTCACTCCGAAAATAGTTATAAGCTAGTTCCATTTATCTCAAATTACCAAACCACATACTCACCTGAGACCAGCATGAAGGGTAAACTTACTGCCTAGTTACCAAGGTATTCAACTATAAGAGTCGCTAAAATACCAACATAAATGTAAACAGATGGAGACAATTGTATTAGTCAGAATTACTCTTAGAGAGAATATGTGAATATAGAGTAAGCATAGGGGTAAGACCTCAAAGGAGCACGGCTCAAGTCAATGTCCTATAGGCTTTCATTATCCACATTTTGCATCAAAGCTGAAAGGTTTGGGACAGTAAGAAAGACGCTAAGCTTAGCCCTTAGCAGTCCTCCTCCTTTGTTGTTCTGTTATAGAACCTGGGCCTCTCCTTTCAATAAAGTTAAACAACAAGTGATAAAGATCTTAAGTTTATAACACAGCAAGCCCACTAGTAGGTATGTACTCTGGAAAGGCTACTGCTCCTGCCCACCTGGAGACTTGTACTGTAATGTTTGTAACAACAGCAATGTAAAAAGCTGAGACAAACTAAATATTCCTTAACAGAAAAATAAAAACATAAATTGTAGACTATTCATTCAATGGGGTATCATAAAGTAGTAAACATGAATGATAACTACAGCACTATATTAAAACGTGGATGAATCTCAAAAACATGCCACTGAGGAAAAGAAGCTGGTCCCCAAGACTAAATATAGTGTGAAACACAAAAAAGTAAAAATTAAACCATATATACATATGTGATATGATAAAATTACTTTTCAAAGTTAAGCAAATGATAAATATAGGATAGCAGCTTTCTCTGCAGGGGAGGAACACAGAATAGTTCAATGTTTAGCAATGTTCTAATGATCAGATTGGGTGGTAGGTTCAAAATGTTAATTTATTATGATTCATAACCTGCAGGCCTTACATGTTTTTGTGTGTATCATTAAATAAGATATTAAAAAACAGAGACTGAAGGGGCACCAAGTGATCATTCTGTCCAAAACAACCATATATCTTTGGTCTGACCTTTGACCTGCAAATATCTGTTATAAGAATGATTATGACGCTGGGCTGGGTGGCTCACACCTGTAATCCCAGCACTGTGGGAGGCTGACTGGGGTGGATTACCTAAAGCCAGGAGTTAAGAGACCAGCCTGGCCAACATGGCAAAATCCCACCTCTACCAAAAATACAAAAAATTAGCCAAATTAGACCTGTAGTCCCAGCTCCTTGGGAGGCTGAGGCACAAGAATGGCTTGAACCTGGAAGGTGGAAGTTGTAGTGAGCTGAGATCGCACTACTGCACTCCAGCCTCGGTGACAGACTGAGACTCTGCCTCAAAAAAAAAAAAAAAAAAAGAAGACTAGAAGTATGCTAAGCATATTAGCAAGAAGCTCATGTTTATTCTTTTGTACTTACGTTCACAACAATATGAACTAATTGGCTAGTACTAAAGTTCTAGACTTCACCTTTTGTTTAATGCTATTAAATAATTATTATTGTTAAGCTTTCATATTTCTAAATTAAAATTTGAAACCAAACAACAATAACAACAACCAAAAACCCCAAAATGTCCCAGTTGGTCCTCAGACTTGAATATGCAAATACAGGTGCACAGAGGCACAGAGGGAAAACGAACACACTGCATGGAGCCAGAAAGCTCAGCATCTGGATACCATGTAAAAGCATGAGCTATCCTATTCATGACCATTAACATGTTTCCTGACTTTTAAAAATCTTTATAGTATTATATCCAAAGCTTACTTAGAAAGAGCTTCCCAAAATACCAAAACCTGGTAAGGTAAGAAAAAAAGTCCAGAACTGTAAACCTACATCATCATCATCTTTTGCTTTTTGCCTTGCATCTTCAGCTTCTGCTCGAGCTCTAGTGGGGAAAAAACAAAACAAAACATGTTATTTGAATTGAGCTCATCTTTTCAAAAAAAAAAAAAAAAAAAAAAGAGAGAGAGAGAGTAGGTCAACAATTTTAACTACCACTAAAGGATTATTTTTCTTTTCCCAAACAGGGAAAAGAAAAATATTTAGCCACCTTCATTTGGTGGAGTATCATCATATCATAGCATTGTTTTCAGAAATAAACAGGTATTAAAGAAAGCGGGATTAAAAAAAATAATGTTTTAGGCCGGGCGCGGTGGCTCAAGCCTATAATCCCAGCACTTTGGGAGGCCGAGACGGGTGGATCACGAGGTCAGGAGATCGAGACCATCCTGGCTAACATGGGGAAACCCCGTCTCTACAGAAAAATACAAAAAACTAGCCGGGCGAGGTGGCGGGTGCCTGTAGTCCCAGCTACTCGGGAGGCTGAGGCAGGAGAATGGCGTGAACCCGGGAGGCGGAGCTTGCAGTGAGCTGAGATCCGGCCACTGCACTCCAGCCTGGGCGGCAGAGCGAGACTCCGTCTCAAAAAAAAAAAAAAAAAGTTTTAATTTTCCTTATTATCAAAACAAAGATGTTTGAACAGTCTCCAACTTTTTTTGCATCATTATAGACATAAAAAATGACAGTACTTAGGCCGGGTGCAGTGCCTTATGCCTGTCATCCCAGCACTTTGGGAGGCCAAGGCAGGTGGATCACCTGAGGTCAGGAGTTCAAGACCAGCCTGCCCAACATGGTGAAACCCTGTCTCCACTAAAAGTACAAAAATTAGCCGTGTGTGGTGGCAGGTGCCTGTAATCCCAGCTACTCAGAAGGCTGAGGCAAGAGAATCGCTTGAACTCAGGAGGCAGAGGTTGCAGTGAGCCATGGCCTTGCCACTTCACCCCAGCCTGGGTGACAGGATAGGCTAGGAACTGAAGAGGCCTGCTCACAGCAGAGGCAATGGGCTGGGGCACTTTGCCCTCTCCCAGGCAGCTCTTGGCCTTCCAGGCTTAAGTGGACAGAAGGTCTCAGTCTCAGGGTTACACCCGTAACCCTTTGTGGCATAACTGGCAAAGAGTTTGGTTTAAAATAACACAGTTAAAACTTACTTCCTAAGCTCTTCCTCCAATTCTTTGTTCTTTTCCTCTAGCTTCAGTTTGGCTTGCTTCACAGCCTCCAATTCCCCTTGCAGCACATCTTTCTCACAGGTCAGTTCATCCACTTTTGCTATCAAATCATTCTTCACTATGTTCAAAGCATTTCTAAGAAACACATATTTCAAGTGCATCATTACAAATAAATATTCTTTCCATCTTTCAGCTATTCCTTTGTAGACTAAAGTAACTGTACAACCATAAAGATGAATAATTTAATACTTCAAGACATTCTACCTGATGCTGTTTGTAGATAAATGCAAAAAGAACACAAAGCAACAGTCTAAGGTTTTACTCATTTATCAAATGAATAAAACAAGACAGACCATCAATTACTAAAAAGTGAGAATATTAAATTTTAAAAATAGCATTCATGAGGTTACTATTGTTAATAATTCCTGAGAATATATTACCCAATCAATAAAGTAAAATTATTCCTTGATGTTACCTTTAATAAATAATGAGAAAACAGTCTAAACTGGAAAGTTAAGACAGTCTAAGCTGAAGAAAAAAAACGGAGATCCAGTTCCTTTGGGCATAGTGGGCATAGGACCTCATTATAACTGTATTCTGTCTTGGATATACACAGATGTTCCAAAGTTGCTCTGATACAGCAAACTGATAAAGGAACCCAGTCAGCTTTTCCACATGACTGGGGATCTGTCCCACTAAATGTGTCTGAGGGCTTAAGACTCCACAAATTGCACCCAAGGATGCACAGCTCAGGAAGGCAGCTCTGAAGAGGAAGGCTGAGAATACTTCAAAATATTTGTCTGGAAATAAAAGAAACCCCAGGAGAAGAGATAAGAAAACAGACAAATGTCAGGGGAGGGAATAAAAAAAAGTGTAAAACCAGGACAAATCCAGAAGATTAAGAAAAAGGCATGGATACTTATAGAGTGAAAAGGAGATGACAATTTGTTTCTCCAAAAAAACAGGGCAAGGAAACATATCCATCAGGGCAATGTAGGTCCCAACATTACATGCATGCGCGCGTGTGTGTGTGTGTGTACACTTAGAGGAGGGGAACAAGATGGGACAGGGAGATTCCATTAGTATTATGTTAAAATGATGAAGTGTCATTGACTTGGACAAGAATAAAATTCTTTATCTTCTGTTGTTAAAATTTCACATATACTTACTTGGTTTCCAACAGTTGTGTATTTTCTAATATAAGATTCTCAACTTCCCGACCCATTCCTATCAAAAGAAAAAAGATAAAGACTTTGAAAATAAATACATCAATAATCATATACATTTAAAATATAAGCTATAGTCACAAGTTTTATTTTAGAAATGTTATCTGTCCTTTATTAATCTTATTTTGTTTATTTCATTTGATGGATCTACTTTAATAGATTATAAAATTATAAATAATTATTCATTACAAACAAGGCTAAAGATTTTGTTGGCCAATTTCTTTCTTAAATCTGGATTGGCTTGCTAGGGAATGAGGCCAATTTTCAATATCTGTTAGTCTATATTTTATTTCTCATAGATAATATTTCAAAAGGATCAAGACTTTTCTGCCAAATATTCTAATATTCCAACATTATTTAGGGGAAAAAAGAACAGCTTTAATATGGATCTAAATTGTTTCTAAATCACATCTGACCTTGGAGGCTTTTGCCTAAAAATTAGACCTTATTAATAGAGAACAGGCAAAACCAAGGCCAAAGAAAGACAGAACCCCAAGGCAGATGAAACCTTACCAAAGAAATTATGGTCTTAAAGCCCATGCATTCCATGTAAAGCAAAAACAAAGAACAAGAAATGTTTTACGTAAGAAACAGCATGAAAACAGATTATTAATCTATAAAGTTTTATACATGATATGAAAAACATCTGGAATCACAATGTTATGATTTAATGTATAACGATGTGCAAAAGACAGAAATAAAGATGATTTCCTTCATTCATAAGGATGCTGATATACCTAAAAAATGCTTTACCAATTCTTTCTCATAATAAAAATGACTATAATTAGATTGAAAATCTTCAGTCAACAATACAAACTTTCCTTCAAAGTGCCACCTATAAAATAATAATGTTCAGTTATCACTTGAGTGGCTATCTTTGACAGTGTTTGGCATTTTAATGACTACTGTGAGACAGGCACATACAGCATCCAATGCAAGATCCAATGGAGTGGTCTTTAGGGAGAAGAAAGCTAGTAATTTGATTCTCCTGAGAAACTGAAGAAATGAAACAACACACTAGGGAATACCACTCAAAAAACAAAAAGTCAAAGCAAAACAAAAAAAACCCAAAAAACCAAAAAAACCCACCAGTCACTCATCTCAAGGAATTGTGAGCTAATAATGTTGGAAAATCACATACAATGGAAGAAGTAATAATCATAACCCAAGTAAACAGTTAGAAAACTACACAAGACGCCTCTTTATTTTAAAAAAGGTAATTTTCCAAATGATTTTAAAACTACTTAAAACAAATACAGCCAACCTAGGAATGCTACATATTCTGTGCACCTGGACTCATATTGTGTCTATATTCTAATTTTCTCAAAGATCAAGGTACTTACACCAGAATGAATTAAATATCAGAAATAGATTACTTAATCATCTACCTATGTATTATCCACAAACTGAAACCAAAGCAAACAAAATAAAAATCCCAAAAAAGTTTCCAAATTCTAACTCCAAAACAATCTTTGGCAAGATATTTGCTTTAAACACTAATGCTAACTTTTTCTTCTTTTGTAGATACAATGGCTGGGAAAGTTAACTTTTTAATAAAGTTATAGAGACAGAAGAAATAAGAGTGTAGACTGGTTGAAAAAAGTTTATATAGTAACTATGTTTGCTATAAACTCTCAAGCACTTAGATAAGCGTGAAAGCTGAAAATATATGAAAGGCAAAAAAATAGTTGAGCAGAAAAAAATGATGAGAAAGCATTAGATGAGAACAGCAGCCAAGAACACCTAGCTTAAAAAGCAGTAATATTAAAATATTCAAAAATCATACACACCAGAATATTCCCCTAGGTAAGCAGCCCAAGAAAAAAATGAGTGAGAATCTCAATTAGATTGTTTTCAGAAAGCAAGAACTAAACTCATTTACTTTAAAAGAGAAGAAACAAAGAAATTGACAAGATGTAGAGAAACCATTAACTAAACACAATGAAGTGTAAATATTTATAAAAAGGAAAAAAATTGAAATGTGTTCTACAGGAAAAACAAATCCTATAATACAGTTTCTAAAGTTTACATTTGCCATGAAGTCAGTAGACAAGACAGATATTCTGCAAACTGGAGGGTATACAGGACATTTTTGAAAAGACACAAAGTCCTCAGTGGGCTTAGAAAATTCACTGTATGATCCATATATTATCCTACTCGGCTTGCATGTCTTCAGGTGCATGAATATACTGCTACTGGGTCCTCGCCATCACCTAAATGTGACTCAGGCTGTTCCACTATAATATGTTGTGAATTTCCCTGTACTGTACTTTTATTGGTCTTCTTGCATCGATGACACAACAGCAACAACATTTTAAAATTATAGTTAAAAGATTAACTGGCAATGTACAGAGTCTACTCTTAAGGGAAAAGACTACAAAAAGTCACGAGGATACCAAATGGAAACACATGATGGTGCCTCTGAGTATGCATGAGACCCGGATGAAGTAGAAATAAAGCCTTTCTGAGATGGCAAAAATAAATAAATAAAGTTTACATTAAATGTACACATTCCCAATGAAGAGTTACCTTAATATATGGTGTATAAATTGAATATATAACCAATAGGATTAGCTAAAATTTCATTTTGAAATGATCAATAAAAATTCTTTATAAGAAAAACATAACTTAAAGTGGCCTCATTTCTATTCAAGACTTAAATGAAGCACAAATTTAGGTCCAATAAATTTGAAAACTTTACTTATTAAAAACAAGCAAAAAAACCCAAACTGCCTGGCCGTTTTTAAAATCATAGAAGTTTTATTTGGATTTTAACACTGATTCTCAAGCTAGGTCCACAGATGAGCTTCAGAGTTATATGGTAATTCCTTGAGAAAATGCACAATTTTACCTAGTTCTATACGTGTATTTTTCCAAAGGTGCACTGCTCTCTTACAAATTCTCCTGTAAAGAATTTTTAATCCCAAAAGGAGAAGAATCACCGATTTTGAGGTGAAACAAAACCGTCAGAACTATTTAGCAATCCCATTCACTCAGCTGCTATGTGCTAAAGATGCAACCGTGAACAAAGACACAGTTGTCTCAGCCACATTGAACTTATAGTCTGTCCAGGGAGACAGGTACCTAAAAAATAACAGTAAAGTATGAAAAGTGGTATAATAAAATGCAGTGCCATGGGAATACATTTCAGGGAAAACTAAGGGGATCAAGGCAGAATTCCTGGAGGATGTATCACTTAAGGCAAGAAAAAAAATATATATATACACACACATATACATATGTATGTATGTATACACACACACATTTAGGAGAGGGAACAAACAAGCCTTGGTGATGCGCTGTGAGGGAAACTGAGAGGTGCAGGATAGAGAGTTATTCATTCACTGAAACAGTGCCTGTTGGTCCAAGAACAGCCTTGGGGGACAGAACAATAAAGATGACAAACTGAGCTTTATACATGTCAAATGTAAAGCCCTCCAGGTCATCTTAGGGGTGTCTAGTATGCAATTAGGAAATAATAGTCTTGGGCTCTAGAAAAAGATTTGGGATGGAGATAAAAACTTGGGAATAATTAGCCATGAAAACCAAGAAACAATGAGAACAAATATGATTTCTCAAAGTATCAGACCTAGGACAGGAGCGCTGATATCTGAAAGATGAGGAAAGGAAGCAGATCCTGTTAAGATGACTGAAAAGGTAGAGTCAGAGACTGGAAAGGACATAGGCAAGCTGATATCACAGAAACCCAGCAAAGAGAGTTTTAAATAAGAAAGTTGAGGGATGAGACACCAATCAAGATAAAGGACAAATTGTTGAGATTCTTTTAAATTAGTAAAATCAGAAAAAGGTTGTGCTGGCATGATGGTGCATGCCTGTAGTCCCACCTACTTGGGAGGCTACAGGCAAGAGGATTCCTTGAGCCTAGGAGTTCCAGGACAGTCTATACAACATAGTGAGATCTCGCCTCAAAAAAAGGGTAATCTTAAGTACTGAGTCCATATATAATGATTGAAATTTGTTATCACTGAATTACACAGAAGAGAAGCCAAGGACTTTTTTTTTTTTTTTTTTTTTTGAGACAGAGTTTTGCTCTGTCACTCAGGCTGGAGTGCAGTGGTACAATCTCAGCTCTCCGCAACCTCCACCTCCCAGGTTCAAGCAATTCTCCTGCCTCGGCCTCCCAAGTAGCTGGGATTACAGGTGCACACCACGATGCCCGGCTAATTTTTGTAGTTTTAGTAGAGATGGGGTTTCACCATGTTGGCCAGGCTGGTCTCGAACTCCTGACCTCAGATGATCCGCCCACCTCAGTCTCCCAAAGAGCTAGGATTATAGGCATGAGCCACGGTGCCCAGCCAGGATCATTTTTATTTACCATCTTTGACCAAAAGTATTCATAAGTAACTAAACTTACAGTAATATATTAAAATATTCTAATCTGGACTATTCTAGAGGTAAATGTATCAACATCTACAAAATGGAAAAGATAGTTGGTAGTCTGTTTCTTATCTTTAAAGTGGCAAAGAAACCAAAGCATCAGGATATTACTTTTATTTGATTTAAAAGACCACAGATATTTCTAAGCACTATGGGGCTTCTAAATGCTTCATAAGAAAAGAAAGTTTGGGGCCACCAACCTTAAATATTTTGTCACTCATTATTGCATTATGAGGTAACACAGTGTACAAATTATATTCAGAAGTACTTCATTCTTGTTAATACAAACAGGCAGCATAAAGGAATTTTGTGGGGTGATGTATATCGATTCTGGTGATGAATTTTACTGCACTGAATATACATTTTTAAGTTCTTCTAACATTTTTTTCATCTGCTCCTCAATTTTGCCAGGGAGTTAGTTTTTTAAACCAATTATGTCTTAAAAGAAACTTTTCAGGTATAATTTGATGTTAACTAAAATTAAAACATAAAAGTAAATATAAAAATGGAGTATTCCTTAAGAATTAAACTTTCAGGCTGGACGCGGTGGTTCATGCCTGTAATCCCAGCACTTTGGGAGGCCGAGACAGGCGAATCACGAGGTCAGGAGTTTGAGACCAGCCTGGCCAATACAGTGAAACCCCGTCTCTACTAAAAAGACAAAAATTAGTCAGGCATGGTGGTGTTGAGCCAAGATCGCGCCACTGCACTCCAGCCTGGGCAACAGAATGAGAGTCTGTCTTAAAAAAAAAAAAAAAAAAGAATTAAAACTTTCTTAGCCCTCCATAAGAAACACAATTCATTCAATTTCTTCCAAAGTTTTACTTAAACTTTAATGGTGACAGTCCCTTTCTGTCTAACTGTATGTACTTAAAATACTTTCAATCTCTCTTACTAGATATTTGTTTATTTTTATGAGACAGGGTCTGGCTCTGTCACCCACGCTGGAATGCAGTGGTGCAACCCATGTTTACTGCAACCTCTGCCTCCCGGGTTCAAGTCATCCTCACACCTCAGCCTCCCAAGTAGCTGGAACTACTGGCATACTCCACCATGTCTGGCTAATTTTGGTATTTTTTGCCATGTTGCCCAGGCTGGTCTCGAACTCCTGAGCTCAAGTGATCCACTTGCCTTGGCCTCCCAAAGTGTTGGGATTACAGGCATGAGCCACTACAACTGGCCTAGATAGACATTTAGATAGAACTTGTGTTTTCCTTCAAAAACACTTTACAATGTCAAGGACATAACTGGGAATCAATAAATTTAACATAAAATAATGCAAGCAATGTCACTCCACCCCAAAGTCATAACAATTAACAAACGAAACCTTTTGAGAACAGTGTAGTCTGCACTATAATTATACCAATAGATACAATATTTTTTAGCTTAGTATCTCCAAAGGTATATATTTTTAACTCCATATAGTTTTTAATTTCTATAGGGTCTTAAGTTATAAGGAAGGTATACCAAAACTGATTCATATGAGCCAGAATCCTGCACTGAAAGGAACTTTAGAGATCATCCAGGGCAGGGGTTGGCAAACTCTTTCTATAAAGGGCCAGACAGTAAATATTTTAGGCTTTAGGTTTTGGTTGCCTATTCAACACTGCTGTTGGTAGGCAAAGGCAACCACAGACAATAAGTAAATGGTGGTGGCTGTGTTCCAATAAAACTTTATTTAAACATGCACACAAGAGATCAGCTGGATTTGGTTGGAGGTAAGCTGCAGTTTGCCAGATTCCTGAACTAGGGTCCAGCTCCTTCATTTTACACACAAGGAAATTAAGGTCCAAAAAGGTTAAGCCACTTGGCAAAGGTCAGTAGGCAAATAGTCTAAGAGCCAAATGCAATATTCTTTTCAAACCATGTATTCTTCTAGAACACAAACTTTAAAATGATTATATTTACCATAGAGCTACAACATAATATACTCTGTGAAAGCTTAGAAAAATCAAGTGTTATAATTTCTTATTTAAAGTCAACAGCATATAATGAAATTTAGGTAAGCCGGGAAATAACTAGCCATCAATCCATACATACACACACACACACGCACGCAAACACACACACACACACATACACACCATGTTCTTATGTGTAGCAGGAGTTCAATAAATTGTGTTGTATGAATTCAAAATATGAGTTTAAATGCAATTCAGTTTTAAGCATACCCATAAGCAAAGGTGCTTTCATTTAAAACTTTCATGATCACAAAGAATATGTTCCCAATAACTACCTAAAAGGGCAATAACCCTGTGCCACTGAGCAGTTGGGGACATTTTAAAGGACTTTTCAATTAAATCATTTAAAAAATCAATTTTAAAAACAGTATGATACTTCTTCAGATGAGCTATCATACCTAGTAAATCTGCTCCTTCATCCACATCTCCTATTAGGCCTGAGCCAGCTGAAGACAGTTCTTCAAAGAGAGATTCTGTATTGCGATCAAAAGCTTTGTTCTCTATGCCTTTGGTGGGAGTGCTATGCAACAAGAACAACAAAACCAAATCAACAAATGACAAAGACTTTTTAGACGCTGTAAAATGAATACAATAGGCTAAGCTACATAGGACTTTCTTACCTATAATTTATGTTTACTAGAAAATATAATTTAAAAAGATTTCTCAAAGGCTTCCTAAGAAATTCTCACTAAGCTCCATGGAAATAGCTGGTGAAGAAATTATAGAATGTTTTTCTTGTATGATCCCAGTAAACACAAGCAGTAACGGCAGCTCCTCTGCTCTATACCAAGTTCTGGTCTAAGTGCTTCCCAAAGATTACCTATGTCACAAGAAGGCAATTATGTGTGTAAAAGATGGTTTCTCATAGTGGCAAAAATTGAAATGAGCTAAATGACCGTTAACAGGGGACAGATGAGGTAAGTTATACACATATAAAGTTAAAATTTTTACCTTTAAGGTTAAAAACATAAATAGAGCTTTATAAACTAAAGAAACCCATTATACAAAGGTTTTCTTTTTTAATCAAGTTGCAAAACAGTGTATATACTATATGCCCTATTTTGCAGGGGTATATAGGGGAATGGGGAAGTGTATACGTTTGTGCCTGAATACTATTATTAATAGAAAAAACTCTGTAGACCATTTCCAGTTAAACATGGTAGAGAGAACATAGTCATTTATCATCTAATAACTCAGAAACTCAACTAAAATGAAAGTTAAGAAATTAAAAAGGTATACATCCAAAAGGACAAAGAGAATAGAAAAAGAAACTAAAGCAGATGAAATGTGAACAAAATTCTGTAAGATGGAAAACAGATGGGCAAACAGTAGAAAGTGATTCACTAGACCAGAGAAGGCTGAAACCTAAGCCACTGGGGTTTAGGGAGGAGGTCAATATGTTGCCAGAACCCCTGAAAGGCCTAGGACTTGAAGGTACCAGCAACCACAGGGAGGGCATGTAGGGAGGAACACGAAACAGAAGGACAGGATAAAAAAAACTGTGCAAGAGGCAGTACTGGACCTAGATACAATCCTCCAGAACAGTGAGACCTCCCTTCTCTTGGCACAGCTCCGTAACAATGGAAGCCAAGTTTAAATGTTATAGGCAGGAAAGTGGAGAATCAGCATTATTTACTTAAGTATGAATAAAACAGCCACAGAGTACCAGATGTTTAAAGAAGGCCTCTATTATAAAAGAAAGGGCCCAAAACAAAGAGGATGTGACAGAGACACTAAGAGCAAAAAAAGACAATGCACGCAGCAGCGACAACAAAAAAACAAAGCACTTAATTTTCTTCAGAATAAATGTTGCATTCGTAAAATAGCAAGATGGTGTAAGAAGTACCAACCAAGAAAAAAAACTTAGAAAAAAAAAGAAAGAGGGTTTAAAAGAAAATCTGCCAGCAATTAGTACAAAATAAAAGAGACAGGAAAGAGGGGAGAAAATAAATTATGACAGTCATTCCAGGATGTTCAATACATAGCTAATAGGTGTTCCAGAATGAGAGCAGAAGAAACAGTAAGAAGAAAGAGAGAGAATTTCTCAGAACTGGAAGATCGGAATGTTCAGATGAAAACAGTTAATTCATATAAGAAGATACAAAAAAGACCCCTACACCAAGCACAGCATCATTAATTTTTTAAAAATCAAGAAAGTAACAATCTTAAAAGATTTCAGAGAGTATATAAAAATGAGCAAGAACTCAAATAACACCCCCCTGAACTCAACATGAAAATGAAGTAATGTCTTTGCAATTCTGATGGAAAAAAAACTCCCAACCTATAGTTCTTTATCTAGCCAAACTATCAAGTATGTCTTCTTATGAAATTTGTAACATTCAAGTTCATAGTGCTCAAAAAAAAAAATTTACTTGTCATGCACCCTTTGCCTGGAAACCTAGTAAGGATACGTTCTGTCAAAACAAAGGCATAAATCAACAAGCAGGATGATGTGGCATCCAGGAAACAAAAGATACAACAGAGGAAAAAGGTGAAAAGAATTCCAGGGATGATAGTGAGGGCATATTCCAGAACCAGAGCAACTATGACAGTAGTCTCAATTGGAGAATGGGAATAGAAGACCGCAGGAGAGTGAGCCCTAAAAAACAGACAGGTTTTGTGTTTGGTCATATTAGGGACTTTTACATTTATGAATTTCATAGTGTCTGCCAATGATTTAGTAAAAGGAACACAGAAACATAAGGAAAAGAAACAAAATAACCCAAGGCTTTATTAATTTCAGAAGAACAAAAAGTTGTAAAGGAAATGAAATGGGCCGGGTGCGGTGGCTCACGCCTGTAATCTCAGCACTGGGAGGCCAAGGTGGGGGATCATGAGGTCCGGAGTTCGAGACCAGCCTTACCAACATGGTGAAACCCCATCTCTACTCAAAATACAAAAATTAGCCGGGTGTGGTGGTGCCTGCCTGTAATCCCAGTTAGGGGGCTGAGGCAGGAGAATTGCTTGAACCTGACAGGCAGAGGTTGCAGGGAGCCGAGATCGCACCACTGCACTCCAGCCTGGGCAACAGAGCAAGACGCCATCTCGGAGGAGGGAGAAAAAAAAGAAATGAAATGTAATTATACTATATTCTGTGGCTAAGTAGAATTACAGATTAATTTTATATAGTCATACTGATATAAATAATGAACATTAACGGAATTTGAAATATAATAATATTAGGAGGATGAAAAGATGGTGCTTTAGGCATTATATCCTCATCTACTATAGAAAGCCAACAGTTAACATCACAGCCTTTTTCAACCAGGGTTCCTTATTTGATCTACAGAATACAGAAAACGATTTAAGTATTTTCTCCATTCTCCCAAGGAAAGTACATGCCTAGAGTCCTATTCTAGACGCACAGGAGCATAGCTAATTCATTATATACAAGAGATGCCTTAGGACATTAGGACTGCATTTTCTCACAGAATCTCAGCTGAAAAAGGGAGGGATGAAGGAGGGGCAGGATGAGCATGTCATTTTAGATACCTGAAGACAAACAGCATAAGAGAGAGCTATGAAGTGATAGAGTCATGCACCCTTTACCGACAAAGCTAGTAAGGATAAGCTCTGTCAAAACAAAGGCATAAATCAAGAAGCAGGGTGATGCAGGATCCAGGAAAAAGAGTGGCGACAGAATGAGAACCTGTCTGAGAGAGTGAGAGAGAGAGAGAGTGAGAGAGAGAGAGAGAGAGAGAGAGAGACAGAGGGTTCTGGATTTGAATCCCAGGTCCACCTCTTGCTAGCACCTCTGGTAATCTGGGACAAGCTACTTGAACAAGTTCTAAGTCTCTTTATTTATAAAATAAGCATAAAAAGTCTACCTCATAAGGTTGTAATTAGGATCAAATTATATAAAATCATGATGAAAACAGTACTAGTTAACATTTACTGAATGGGGCATTTTGCAATGATTTATCACATATTGATTCATTTAATCTTTATAACCATCTGAGGCATTAACACAACACTGTTTTATAGATGAGAAAACATACCTAGGATTCAAATCCAAGACAGGATTTGAACCCACGCAGTTTTACTCTAGAGTCTGTGCTTTTAACCGCTATAGCATACTGCACAATGCTTAACAGAGATCAATAAATGGCTTTATTTTTATAGACATTAATTAATTAAAGGATAAACTTTATGGAAAAAATGAAAAGAAAGGCAGTAGCTCCTGTCTGACATTCTTGAGCATCAATGAATTTTGGATAATCCTGATTAAGATGACATCTAATCTCCCAGCTTTGGGAGGCTGAGGCAGGCAGATCACTTGTGCTCAGGAGTTCAAGACCAGCCTGGCCAACGTGGTAAAACCCCGTCTCTACTAAAAATACAAAAAGTAGCCCAGTGGGGTGTTGCACGCCTGTAGTCTCAGCTACCTGGGAGGCTGAGATGGGAGAGTTGCCTGAACTCCGGGGAGGGGGTGGGGGTGGGGCAGTGAAAGTTGCAGTGAGCCAAGATAGCACCATTGCATCCAGCCTAAGTGACAGAGCGAGACTCCATCTCACAAAAAAAAAAAAAAAAGGTGATATCTAACCATTTTCTTCCTACCACTAAACAGCTTTCCCATGTAAAATGATACTAAAATGAGACTAATTTCTTCCAATAATGAGATCATTACAGTTCTCAAGATGGAAGTACATTCTCTCTTCCTGATCTGGGGGAAGGTACAAAAGTTTATTCAAACATTTTTGTTTGATTTTTTAAATTACATTTATTTAGCATATGTACACATAAAAAAGAAATCACCTTCTGAACCCACCCAGCAGGAAACGTGCACAAACTCAAAGTAAGTGCTAGGGGGAGGGGCCCTGGCCCCAAGTTAGTGGCTGGGACAATGCAATCCTGTGAGTAAGCCCCAGTCAGGAGGGGGCTGGACTGAAGTGTCCGGCAGGCTGGAGTCCCCTGCTGCTGGCCCTAAAATAAGCATGCTCCATAGCCAAAGGTCTGTTTCATGCCCTCAAAGTAGCACTGCTGCCAGCCCTGCCATGTCCACTCTGTTACTTCCTTCACTCCTGCTTCTTGGTTTCCTCAAGTTACAGAAAGTATGGGATATGTCTTGGCTGTCTTTTTTTCCCCTAGTTTGAATGCGTCCCCTATAAAATTCAGCTGTTGCCAATGTGATAGTATTAAGATGGGGCCTTCAAGAGGTGATTAGGCCATAAGGGCTTCTCCCTTATAAATAGGATTGGGATCCTTATAAAATAATGAGGCTTTATCCAGTGTTCAGGGCTCACTTGTCCTCCTGCTATGTGAGGACATAGAGGTCCTCCCCTCCAGAGGATGCAGCAACAAGGCACCAACTTGAAAGCAAAGAGCAGCCCTCACCAGACACCTGACCCTGCCAGCACCTTGATCTTGGCCTTCCTAGCCTCCAGAACTGTGAGAAAATTAATTTCTGTTCTTTATAAATTGTCCAGGTGCAGTAGCTCACGTCTGTAATCCCAGCACTTTGGGAGGCTGAGGCAGGCTGATCACTCAGGAGTTCGAGACCAGCCTGGGCAACATGACAAAACTCCGTCTCTACTAAAAATACAAAAAAAAAAAAAAGAATTAGCTGGGCGTGGTGGTGGGTGCCTATAATCCCAGCTACTTGGGAGACTGAGGTAGAAGAATCCCTTGAACCTGGGAGACAGAGGTTGCAGTGAGCTGAGATCACACCACTGCACTCCAGCCTGCGCAACAGAACAAGACTCCGTCTCAAAAAAAATAAACAAGGATGGGCGTGGTAGCTCACGCCTGTAATCCCAGCACTTTGGGAGGCTGAGGCGGGTGGATCACCTGAGGTCAGGAGTTCGAGACCAGCCTGACCAACATGGAGAAACCCTATCTCTACTAAAAATACAAAATAAGCCAGGCGTGGTGGCACATGCCTGTAATCCCAGCTACTAGAGAGGCTGAGGCAGGAGAATCACTTGAACCTGAGAGGCGGAGGTTGCAGTGAGCTGAGATCACGCCATTGCACTCCAGCCTGGGCAACAGGCTCAAAATAAACAAACAAACAAACAAATAAATAAATATATAAATTACCCACTCTGGTATTTTGCTATAGTAGTACAAAATAGACTAAGACACCATCCTTCCTGCTCATACACCTAATTCATGATCCTACAAAGATAACATTTAACAAAAAATTTAAACCATGTACAGTGTCCAGTTTCAAGAATAGGAATTAGAATATAACACTAACATTTATTCAACAAAATATCTGAATCCATTTTGTCCAGTCAGAGACTGGAGAACAGCATTCATGGGAGTTGGGGGTGGGGAGGTGGAATATGTCTTCATCTGACATTTATGTTACCTTGAACCTTTATATCCACTGAGATCTTTGTCCATATCCAGCTCAGGAGTAGATTCAATGATTGCTTGAACTTCTGACTTCTCTTCATTTTCAGCAGAGCCTTAAAAAAGGACATGATGAAATAAACAATACATATATTACACAGTACCCCAATATAAAAATCCTGTTGTTTTTACAGTTGTAAAGGTATCATTTGAACATTTTTTAAAAATGTACAAGACTAGGTTTTAGGAAATACAGCATTATACAATATATCATATATTCAGTTAACAGTTCATATAAAAAACTAATAAGCAACCAGAGACAGTTTTCCTTTGTGTTTTGTGGAACACAGAGTGCAAGGTATCTAAGGCCCTGCTTTCATTCTTATTTAAAAGATGGAAGTTAAAGAAACTAAAGACAAAGACTAAACTAAGACAGCGGACAGAAAAGAACTGTCCTCCTGTCTTTTAGGCTCTGTGACCTCCTGGCCCCCAACTCCTGGCCCCAATAGTTTCTCTCCAAGACTAATCAAACATTACCTCTTTTAAGCACTGAATACAATTAAGTACAGTCTTATCTCAGTATCCATGGGGGATTGGTTCCAGAACCCACCACAATACCAAAATCTATGGATGTTCAGGTCCCTTATATAAAATGGCATTGTATTTGCATATAACTTATCAATATCCTCCCATATACTTTAAATCATCTCTAGATTACTTACAATACCTAATACAATGTAAATGCTATGGAAATAATTGTCATACTGTACTGTTCAGGTGATAGTAAGAAGAAAGTATGTACATATTTAGTACAGGTACAGCTATCATTTTTTTTTTTTCAAATATTTTCAATCTACAGATGCAGAATCACAGATACAGAGGGCCAACTACATCCGCCTATTTTATAAATACAAAGCAGGCAACACCCGTAAAGATATATTTTCTCATACCCACATTATCTGGGTTTACTGAATACTTTCCTAGTAAGTAAAGAACTAGGGTCACTCACCAGTAGATACATTTCTAGTTTCTTGGGCTACCTGTACTTCAATGTGTTTGCTTATCTCTGATTTATTTGGCGCATCTGTAACCTTCACAAATCCTTCATTTTCTTCCTTTAAGGGAGTATCAGTAGGAATTGTTGCCACATCTGAATTAGCTGTTGATGCTGGAGTGGTAGCTTTAGATCCGCCTTGGCTAACATCAGAAAGCTCATCCTACAAATAAAAATAATTTAAAATAAAATTTTAAATGACGAATTTACTCTAAACCACATTAAATGGGTTAAGAAATAAATCTACCAAAGAAAGTTCTATTATTTTGTGTTTTTTTTTTTTTCCAAAATAAAGGCAATAAAGAGCCACTGATTACCAATAAGTACTCTCTCTAGACCCTCCGCAAATAATAGGGAAATATTTAAGTAAATTGTATTTTTTCAGATGAGATTTTTCTAAACAGAAAATTTGAAAATAGAAGAATTATTAGCAATAAAACTATACATTAATGTCAACATCATTCTTAATGGCAATTGCAATATTGTACAATCACTTGGTAATAAAGACCTACTTTAGAACATTTAGAACATATGGTCTGTAATAGCTGCTGTAAAACAGAAGTAGAATAAGCAAATTCTTAATCTCGGGGTATCTTTGTAAAGTGTAGTATTAAAATATCCTGCATCTAAAGCATGTGAAGTGCTTAAAGTGCTTGTTAAAATGCGGTGGCTCACACCTGTAATACCAGCACTGCGGGAGGCCGAGGCGGGCGGATCATGAGGTCAGGAGTTTGAGACAGCCTGGCCAACACGGGTGAAACCCCGTCTCTACTAAAAATACAAAAATTAGCCAGGCGTGGTGGCAGGCACTTGTAATCCCAGCTACTTGGGAGGCTGAGGCAGGAGAATCGCTTGAATCCGGGAGGCAGAGGTTGCAGTGAGCCAAGATCACGCCACTGCACTCCCATCTCAGCGACAGAGCTAGACTCCATCTCAAAAAAAAAAAAAAAAAAAGCAGGGGGAGGGGGCAGATTCCAGCCATGCACATGCCTGTAATTCCAGCTGAGGTGGGAGGTTGCCTTAAGCCCAACAAGACCCTATCTTTTTGAAAAAAAAGAAAAGAGGAGGGAGTAGAGAGGAGTAGACAGAGTCTAAGTCCAACTCTAGACTTAATGCACCGAACTTTGGGCAGTGAGAATAGGTCATCTATATTTTAACAAGCAATCCAGATGAGTTACATACTCACTGAAATTTGATTACTATTATAGGATCTACAGATAGGTTTCAAGAGGTATATGCAAATTGAAATTGTATGCAAAAATTTGTGTACAATGTATTTTTCTGGGAATAGAATTATAGCTTTTATCAGATATTCAAAGGGGTTTGCAGCTCCAAAATAATTATAAACAACTGTCCAGTGGCTATCAAGAATGAAGCAGTTCTTTTGGAGCACCCAGGTTTTAAGAAAAGAGAAACTGACAAAAAGTTTACAGCCACCACCACTAATTATGATAATAATAATAATAATAATAGGCCGGGTGCAGTGGCTCATATCTGTAATCCCAGCACTTTGGAAGGCCGAGGCAGGCAGATCTCCTGAGGTCAGGAGTTCAAGACCAGCCTGACCAACATGGAGAAACCCTGTCTCTACTAAAAATACAAAAAATTAGTCGGGCGTGGCAGCACATGCCTGCAATTTCAGCTACTCGGGAGACTGAGGTGGGAGAACTGCCTGAACCCAGGAGGTAGAGGATGCGGTGAGCCCAGATCGCACCATTGTACTCCAGCCTGGGCAACAAGAGCAAAACTCTGTCTCAAAAACAATAAAATAATAATAATAATAATAAGGATTAGGGTAAATTAAGTGAATTTATCATTCACTAAATGTATGACCTTCGGTAAGTTATGTATCCTTTCTAAACCTTTGTTTTATAATCTGTACAATAGAGATAATAGTATCTACTTCTTAAGATTCTTATTAAGTTATTCTACATTATGGCTTAGCAATGTATTTCACACAGACTAAGAATTTAAAATATTAACTATTATAATAGTAACTATTCGTACAATTATAAATACATAATTATATTTTTTATAATTTATATTTATAATATTTTAATTATAAATTATATATTTTATATATATAATTCCCTTAAGGGAGTATCAGTAGGAATTATTGCCACATCGATTTAGCTATTGATGCTGAAGTGGTAGCTTTAGATCCACCCTGGCTAACATCAGAAAGCTCAACCTACAAATAAAAGTAATTTAGAAGAAATTTTAATCGAGTAATTTATTCTAAAGTACTTTAAAAATGGGTTAAGAAATAAACTTGTCTGGAGAAAGTTATAATTTTTTTAAAAGGTAATAAAGAGTCACCGATTATCAATAAATAATCTCTCTAGCTCCTCTGCAAATAACTGGGAAATATTTAAGTAAATCGTATTTTTCCAGACATACACGAGATTTTTCTCTTTTTTTCTAAGACAGAGCCTCACTCTGTCACCCAGGCTGGAGTGCAGTGGCATAATCTCAGCTCACTGCAACCTCCACCTCCCAGGCTCAAGCCATTCTCATGCCTCAGTCCCCTGAGCACCTATGATTACAGGCGTGTCTCACCATGCCCCACTAATTTTTTGTATTTTTGGTAGAGATGGGGTTTTGCCACACTGCCTAGGCTGGTCTCAAACACCTGGCCTCAAGTGATCCGCTGGCCTCGGCCTCCCAAAGTGCTTGGATTACAGGCGTGAGCCATTGTGCCTGGCCGATTTTTCTAAATGGCAAATTTGAAAATAAGATATGAAAGGCATTAGCAGCCAGGCTTGGTGGCTCATGCCTAAAATCCCAACACTTTGGGAGGCCCAGGCAGGCAGATCACCTGAGGTCAGGAGTTCGAGACCAGCCTGGCCAACATGGCGAAACCTCATATCTACTAAAAATACGAAAATTAGGCCTGGTGGCAGGTGTCTGTAATCCCAGCTACCAGGGAGGCAGAGGTTGCAGTGAGCCAAGATCGCGCCACTGCACTCCAGCCTAGGGAATAGAGCGAGACTCTCTCCAAAAAAGGAAAAGCATTAGCAATAAAATTACACACTGATGTCAACATCATTTTAATGGCAGTTGCAATACTGTATCACTATTAATTACAGTATATTGTACATATTAATTATAATATATTGTACAATATATTTGACACAATATAACATAAAAATAAAATAGTATACCCATGTTTAAGAGTACAATACTTCGGCCAGGTGTGGTGGCTCACGCCTGTAATCCCAGCACTTTGGGAGGCCGAGGCAGACAGATCACCTGAGGTCAGGAGTTCGAGACCAGCCTGGCCAACATGGAGAAACCCCTTCTCTACTAAACATACAAAAATTAGCTGGGCCTGGTGGCACACGTCTGTAATCCCAGCTATTGGGGAGGCTGAGGCAGGAGAATCACTTGAACCCAGGAGGCAGAGATCACAGTGAGCCAAGATCGCACCATTGCACTCCAGCCTGGGTGACAAGAGTAAGACTCCATCTCAAAAAAAAAAAAAAAAAAAAGAGTACTTCTTACTTGCATACTTCAGGCATGCCTGTAATCCCAGCTACTCTGGAGGCTGAGGCACAAGAAGTGCTTGAATGGCCTGGGCAACACAGCAAGATCCCACCACATAAAACAGTAATAATGTATTGTACATTTAAAATTTTTAGAAGGTAGATCTCATATTAAATATTCTTACTACAACACAATAAAAAAGGCTGAGGCAGGAGAATCACTTGAACCCGTGAGGCAGAGGTTTCAGTGAGCTGAGATCGCACCACTGAACTCCAGTTTGGGCGACAGAGCGAGACTTCATCTCAAAGAAAAAAAAAAAAAAATTAGCCAGGTGCAGTGGCTCACACCTGTAATCCCAGCACTTTGGGAGGCCAAAGACAGGTGGATTAGTTGAGGTCAGGAGTTCCAGACCAGCTTGGCCAACACGTGGAAGCCCTGTCTCTACTAAAAATAAAAAAATTAGCCAGGCATGGTGACACATGCCAGTAATCCCAGGTACTTGGGAGGTTGAGAGGCAGGAGAATCACTTGAATCCAGGAGGCAGAGGTTGCAGTGAGTCAAGATTGCGCCACTGTACTCCAGCCTGACAAAAGGGCAAGACTCCATCTCAAAAAAAAAAAAAAAAAAAAGCTAACTATTTTCTTTAACTGGTAACTGGCACCCAATATAAAAGTATCTGATAGAAACCTACTAATTCCAGCAAATTCATTTGTTTGGAGTTGAGTCAAAAAGACTGACAGTATTAAAAAAAAAAAAACAAAAAACTGACAGTATTTAATACCTCTGGAGCCAAAGAGGCTGATAGTGCAAACAAGTACAAGTCCCTCTGAGCACCATTTGCATTGTCTTTGCTTTGATATATACTCTATTAAAAAATAAGTAGTATTTGGCTGTGCATGGTCGGCTCATGCCCGTAATCCCAGCACTTTGAGAGGTTGAGGTGGGCATATCACCTGAGCCCACGAGTTTGAGAACAGCCTGGGAAACCTGGTGAAACACTGTCTCTCCTAAAAATGCCAAAAATTAGCCCAGCATGGTGGTGCACGCCTGTAGTCCCAGCTATGAGGAAGGCTAAGGCATAAGAATTGCTTGAATCCAGGAGGCAGAGGCTGTAGTGAACTGAGATTGAGCCCATGTTATCATGTACATGAATTCCCATTCTTTAAAGGTTTCAAATGTAACACACACTAAAAAATATAAAATAAACAGTTTGTATTTCTGATAAACAGTGTTGATGAAAACACTTAAAACCCATTAAGACTACGGATTCAGAAAGCCCTAGAGAATACTGAGTTCATCTATACGAGCAAGTGATATGCCTTTGAAACTGTGTCAAAAATAAATAATTTGAGGTCAATCTTGGAATTGTCATTTACCTCTTAAATACAGAGAAATTATTTCTTCTTCCTCCTTATTATTCCAGTCTCCCACTCCCCACAAAAGGCAGGTTATTTTCACCTTAGAAAAAATTGTACTTAGTAATTTAAAAGTTCACAACATAAAAAGTATGGCAAAGGCTCACTTTCCAAATTCACTTGTGGATCCGGGGGCATGCAATAAAATAACCAGGAGACAGTCTAGATATCATGGGGTGAAAAGAAAAAAACAAAAAGAAAGAAAATAACCAGGAGAGAGCTGAACCTAAAACAGGAAAGGGGCCTGATACCTCAGCAATCC